CCTCTCACCGTCCCTGCACCTCTGGCCTGTACTCCAGTTCTGTGTTCATAAATAAATAAATCTTTTTTTTACAAAATCATGTCCCCAAAGAAAGTTATCTTTTAAAAATTCTTCTGGCAGCAGCCCCTCTGCGGGTCTGTGCTTGTCCATGCAGGTGCTCCGTGTCGCCAACCTTCTCCCTGCGCAGAACCAAAGAGATGGCTCTCCGGAGGCTGCCCCGGGGCGACCGAGCAGCTCTTTTAACAAACCTGTCCCTTTGCAGTAGCTTTTTCTGTCTGCTTGGGTCTCAGCAAGTGACTTTTACTCTTCTTTCCCTTTTTACAATAAAACTTCCCTTTTGGATTAATAATAATGAAACAATCACTTCTAAAATTTGGATTATAGTCAACAAAAAACTTGGCAAAGAGAGTACCAGCCATCTGTTAAAGTTATGATTTTCTCACTGACGACTAATAAAAACAGAATGCAACTCAGTTGTTCATAATCCAAATTAGCACTGTACTCGAAAACTAGCCATTTCCTATTTGAAGCCCTGACAGTTTCTTTCTCTGTCACAAAGCAGTATTTCCTTCCAATGGTGTGCTGTCATTCATTGCCTTTATATCATGCCTTGGATAAAGGGCAAAAAAGCTTCCAAATGTTCCTCTCAATCTTTTTACTTAAGAAAAATGTTAATTGAGGTAACATCGGTTTACAACCTTGTATGTGATTTAGATATATAGCATCTCCCCCTTTTGATACAAACACCACACCACACTCACCAACAAAATAAATCTCTTTTTAATATTTATTCAAAAACATACAATGGCCTGCCAGAGTAGGATATCAAACAGTACTAGTCAAAAATGCCTGTTTCTGGCGGCATCTTGGTAAATAACATATTACCTCTCCCAACACTCCTATATTCATATATATATATGTGAATATATATATAATATATAATATATTATATATTATATATATATTCACATATATATACATATAAAATTAAAATACAGTCTACCTGTTGAAAAGATGGATGCAAGGATTAGGGACAAAGGAAGCCACTTGGAAGTTAATCAAAAGGGTCTGAGAAAAGGTCTACATTTCCCTTTCCTGCCAGCCCTGTACCTTTTCAAAGAATGTACTTCCCAGTTCATGGCTTCACCTAGCTTGGTATCTTCATCATTGTTCTCAGATCCCCATGGTTAGAAATCCCTAAATTGGGGGCCTCCCTAGTGGTACAAGAAATTAAGACTCAGCACTATGAAGCAAACTGCAGCTACTGCAGCATAAGTTCGGTACCCGGCCAGGGAGGTGACCCACATGCACAGCAGACTTCTCTTATCTCATCTGCTGCTTCCTTCAGCAGTGTATTTCAGTAGATCTGCCTGTTCTTCTCGCCACTCTGTCTCTGGTGAATTCTCTCATCCTCCTGCACCTCTAGCCTACACCACAGTTCTTGTATGCATAAATTTAAAAAATCCTAAATCTGGCCCTCTCTGGTGGTACAGTGGGTTAAAGCACAGCACTAAGAAGCTAAAGCCACTTCAGCATGAGTTTGATCCCCACTCCGGAGGTGACCCACATGGCGCAGCAGACCTCTCCTGGCTCACCCGCTACTCCCTTCAGCAGTGTACTTTGTTAGTCAGCCTGTTCTTTTCCCCACTATGTCTCTGGAGAATCCTCTCACCACCCCTGTACCTCTGGCCTATACCCCAATTCTGTATGCATACATAAATAAATGTTAAAAAAAAAAGTAAGCTGCATGGAAAAATAAATACAAGCATGAGACCTTCCATCATGACTGCTCTGAGCATAGAAATTTGGATCTTCCAACAACCTGGATTTCTGATACTCAAACTACTATTTTATAAAGCTCATTAAGAAATACATTTTACATCACAATCCAGTGCTACTCTTTTCAGACAGACACACACAATAAAACACAAATTTCATAATACCTCTACTACATAAGAATGCTTGTTTTTTACTCTATTTAATTGGAGAAAAAGCTGATCAGCACTTACTAACCTACACTTTAATGGGGTTTGGCCTATATTTGAAAACAACTAGCTTAGAAAACATAAGTGTCTGTTATATTCTACTTCTAAAAAAGACAATACTGTGTGTTTATATAACAAGGATCTGAGGAATAACCCTGAATTGCCTTGATTTAAATTATCATGCAATTTATCTTAATTAACTAAAAACTACTCATTATATACATTTTTTCAGACCCTGGTTCCCAACAAACACAAAGATCTTACATATAAACCTGATCCCAAAAAAAAGGTGTAAAATTTTTCCCACTCAAGTTACTGCTTTCATTTATTTTGCTTTATGGATGTAATACAGTAGACTATATAGACATTATTGCTTCCATGTAGTTCAAAAGCTCTAGTGTATTTTGAAGTCATTTGTACACTTATGCTATTGTCATCTATGACCCTTTGAGAGCTGTAAGGTTCAGCTCCTAGTTATCCCTTAGCTTTATAACCTCTGTTGTTTCCTGAAGTACTCAATTAACTTTTATTTGTTATCATACCCAAGTCTGCCTTCTGTGGTTTAAAGACCAAGAGTTGTGGTTGGAGTTAGAAGACTCACAGAAGACTCAGATTTTTGCCCCTTGCCTCAGTATTCTCATCTGTAAAATGTGGCGATTGATTGGATTCTCTCTAAGACTCTGTCCAGCTTTAACATCCTCTACTCTTAGGAAACTATGAATATGAATTGTACAGCCTATCATTCTTATTAAATTAGCTATTCTATGTCTCTTTTTCTTTTTAAATTCAACTCACTGAAAATGCATTCTAGATTCAGCAAGCAGCACAAGTGTTCAAAATGTAATATATAAAATTGACAACCTATTATTGTCTTGGAGTAACGTCTCTATGCCCCCAGTACATAATGAGCTTTAATCTATGATAATTGCCTGCTGTTAATAAGATTGAGTATGTCTACTGAATTCTCTTTTTGGCATCCACAGCCTATAATTATATCTAATGTGCAACTAATGATACCTAGTTGTAAGTTTCCAACCCAGTAGGTTCTCAATAATTATTCACTGCCTAATAGATCACAGAACTACTATCAGTCTTCCACTAGTTTTCTCTGTAGCCTGGTCAAATTATTTAACCTTTCTGAGTCTCCATTTCATCTTCTGTAAATTGAATAGATTCTACTGGGACAGTGGTTTTCAAAAATGGTCACACTACTAGATCATGAGTTATTTAGGTGCCTTCCCATCTCTAAATTTGTGCAATTTTGTATGTAAAAATAAATCCATAAAGAAAAATCAAGAACATACTCTTAAGATAGCTATTTATGTTAAGCATTTGTGTGTGTGTGTGTGTATATATATATATATATATATATATATATATATTATATTAATCCTATACACACATAGTTATATACTATATACCATATAGAAAATAGTGTGGATATAAAAATGTTCATGTAAGCAGAGATAAGAGTGAAAGTCATCATCTCACAGATACTACTTAAAGAATTATAAAATTTGGATCCTCCTTGGTGGCACAATGGATTAAAGCACAGCACTATGAAGCTTTCCACAACTTGAGTTCCTTTCCCGGCCAGGGAGCTGACCCACATGGCACAGCAGACCTCTCCTGACATGCCAGCTGCTCCCCTTAGTGTGATTCATTGATCTGATCTGCCTGTTCTGCTTCCCACTCTGTCTCTGGTGAATCCTCTCATCCCCACACCTCTGGCCTGTACCCAAATTCTTATAGGCATAAATAAATCTTTTTTAAAAATTATAAAATTTTAGGACCATAACTTTGGTGGAAGCAACAAATGAACTAAGAAACAATGAACTGCACACAATCACACTAACTACCAAAAGACACTTCCAAAAACAAGGTAAATGGTATATTGGTGACAAGTATAGTGGTGTCTAGGTTTTGTTTTCTAACTATTAATAAATTACAGACATAAAGGTACAATATCAGTACACAAAAGCAAAAGAAAATCTGAACGGATACAGACTAGCTGTGTTCCTCTTGTCTCCTTTCAGCCGCTTTGTTTGAGCTTGAAACAGCTGAAGCCATCTCTCTTTCTTAATATCAACAAATAGATTTGTTTGAACACATGTAAAAATTGTAATGATTTCCAAAACTTTTGCAATTTGCCTTAAATGATTGTAAGTTATTTATTTTCACATCGTGCTAAATTAAGAAGAAACAAAACAAAACAGAAACATCCTTCTCTTACCCAGTCATCTTTTTGACAGCTTTGGGGCTTACACTGATGAGCTCATTGAGACCCTGTTCACTGCTACAACAAAATAAAATACAAGGTCAAATGTTATTGGAAATCGGCAAACTTTGATTAAAATCTTTTTTTTTTACATTTGTGAATCATTCAATAGAATCCTTAGGCAAAAGAATGATATATTTACCAGTATCTACTTTAGATACATCAGTAATCTTTCTTAAATCTGTAATCTAACAAGGTAGATATTAACCTCTCACTCTTTATATACAGGAAGAAATTGAGCTTCAGGGAAGTTGAGAGTCTTGATATGACTGAGGACAGCAACTGGAGTCGTAAACTCCATACTGCTTCCTGCTAATACCCTTCCTCTATGCAAAGCTTGTTGCAAACATTCTCTTCCTAATAATTCTGAGATGCAGCTTGGGTTTAATTTGAATGTTCTACTTAGTTTTTGTTCTAGTGTATATTGGGTCTTAAATAAGACAGAAATTCAATGTTATATGAAAATATTGTAATCAAGTATAAGGACATTATACCAATTTTCTCAGGAGTAACTTAAAAGGTAATACCTAGGTTTGTGAAAGAGTAGACAGCCAATATTTCTTGGCATGTTAAAGTTTATAAATATATATTTTACTAACCATAAGATCACAATAATAATCTTGTTATATTATTATGTTATAATGAGTTTCTCAAGTTGTACTTATATAACAAATTAACTTCAATATTATAATTCTAAACTATTATAATGAATAAATTGAAGCAGTAAATCTATCCAGAACTATTACACATCAGCAAATCAACTTGTTCTCATTTTCTTATGTCCCCTTTCAAAATGCCCTTAGCCAAATAGTTAATCTTGAGCAAATAGTTGTTCAAGAGGCTTCAGTAAACCCAATAAACTCACCTTTTGTTTGCTGAGAAGACTACTTTGGTAAGATTTTCCAGGTCTTGTTTCCTAAAAGATGTTATCAAATTTAATGGTATAATCAGTTAATATCAATAATAACCACTACATTTTTTTCAGTCTTAACATTGAGTCAAATTGTTTTTAATTTAAAACTTCATCATTACATACATTCTCATTTAAACCTTAAGTATGTGGCTACTATCAATTAATTTTTTGCATAACTATGTATATGTGAGAATTTAATTTTGTTATTTCTTTTGTGACAACTTCAAATTTAAAATTTCTCTTAATCTCTTATTATGCCCTACCAACCCTACTTAGCAACAAAAGGCCTAATTTAATGTCCTTTATTACTGGACAACATAATATGTGTCTTGAAGAGAAAAAGACCAAAACAATTTATATCTGTTTCTTGCTCCCCTCCTTTTTCTTCTCTCCTTTCCAAACAAACAAACAAACTCTGGGACTTAAGAAAAAGTTATTTCCTTATTTTAAGGCATATACATAATACAAACATTTGATATTGAGACCACTCCAATACATTTATCAAATCACTTCAGGATTACACCTTATGTAATGCTAAATCAGAACATGCAAGACTTCAGATTATACAATTTAGGCTTTTATCCTAAGCACTCAAATAGGCAAGTATATCTAACAAGAGACATTCTTGTTATCACTCTGGACTCTCATACCAACCCTACTTAACATCAAAAGGCCTAATTTAATGTCCTTTATTACTGGACAACATAATATGTGTCTTGAAGAGAAAAAGACCTGAAGGTTTTATATCACTTAACTAATCTTCAGGATTTACATATAGACTAGTATTGTCATGTACCTGTCCTCCCACATATGTTATTGCAATCTGTTGAGTTGAATTATATATATTTTCATTTTTTGTGAGTCAAAAAAATGATTGCATGTCAATGATTTCGTAATTTTTTTAAAGATTTATTTACTTATGCATACAAAACTAGGCTGTAGGCCAGAGGTGCAGGGGTGGTGAAAGGCTTCACCAGAGACAGAGTGGGGAGCAGAATAGGCAGTTCGACAAAGCACTGCTGAGGGGAGCAGCGGCTAGACAGGAGAGGTCTGCTGCGCCACGTGGATCACCTCCCTGGTCAGGGATAGAACACTTGCTAAAGTGGCTTTAGCCTCTTAGTGCTGTGCTTTTAACCCGCTGTGCCACCAGAGAGGGCCAAATTTTGTAATTTTTTAATAGGATAATTTCTTTACTACCTTCTTTAAAGTAAGCATTAGGTGGTGCTCCAGGGATCCAACAAAGAAAAAAGTAGTGACAGTAAAATACTGCTAAGACATTACTGAGTAAGTGATTGAGCACTAAGTAGCACTAAGTGCTTTGTAAGGTCGATTGCATTTTTCTGGTAACCCATGAGAAGTGAACTCACAGAATCTGCCCTATAGATAAAGAGGCTCAGACTTAAAGGAGATAAAGCAATGTGTTCAGACTACACAACTAATGACATGGTCTCTGGATTTAGTGTCTTAATTTTTGATAATGACAGCAATGTTATGTTCTTATTTGGAAAGTGAAATCTAAGGAAAATTTTGCAGTAAATAATCAAGTAAAAAAGTTCTGAAATCTTCGGCTTACCCATAAGCAGAATGAAACTATATGTGTAATACATGAAGGCTAGGTTTCTGAAGCTGCCTCCATCCATATTCAGACTTGATCCCTCTCTCCACACCCCACATAAAATACTGTCTAGGTCAGTGGTGAGCAATTAATGGTCCTCAAACTCAACTTGGTTCTTAGTGTGGTTTCATAAGTATTTATTGAGACATAGCATTTCCATTCATCTACAATGTATTCCTGTGTCTATTCAATTAAAAGACTGCTTTGACCCCAAAAACCTGAAATATTTGCTACCTAATTAATCCTTTAGAAAAAAAAAATGAAGCCACTGATGTAGCCTAACAAGCTTTGTTTAATAGCTAAATACTACAAAATTCGACAGCATTTCTAAATGCAAAGATTGTAAAACTGTCAGAAAGAAGATAAAAATTTTTCTTCTAACTGATGTTCAAACTAGCACAACACTAGATGTGCTAATGTTTTTTGGTTAATGTCTTTTTGGTTGATAAACATGATAAGCCTTTCAGAAAAATATGTCTATAAGAGACCAATATTATTCATTGTATTTATTATTTCAATGATCTGAGCATAATTTCTTTAAAATGACCTTCCGGCCCTCCCTGGTGGCACAGTGGGTTAAAACAGCACTAAGAAGCTAAAGCCACTTCCCCATGAGTTCGATCCCCGCCTGACCAGGAGGTGACCACATGGCGCGGCAGACCTCTCCTGACCTGCCCACTGCTCCCCTCAGCAGTGTACTTTATCCATCTGCCTGTTCTGCTCCCCATTCTGTCTCTGGTGAGTCCTCTCACCCTCCGTCTCTGGCCTGTACCCCAGTTCTGTATGAATAAATAAATAAGTCTTAAAAAAAAAAAAAAAAGACCTTCCAACTTTAGGAATTGATTGGGTGGTAGACAGTAAAAGAAATAAATTATGAAGGAAGAAGGAAGGAAAACATTTCTTCACATAAAAACTATCTCTTAGATGGCTTAACTCCAGTAAATTGTTTTGGGGTGATGTGTTATCTCATAGGATACCTGGCTTATTTTAGGAAAATTCCAACCATGCAACACAAATACCACACTGATAAGATATTCAGAGATCATTTTTGTATGTTAAGGAATTCTCTCTCTCCTTCACTAAAGCACGTGGTCAGGGACCCCTGTGCCAGGTCTTGAAAAGCAGATTCCAACACATCTGATTTGGAACCCCATGCTGACCCTCTATGTGGTGAGACAGTGCGTTCTATCACATTTTCTAAGTTGAATAAGAAAGAAAAAGGAAAGTTCATAAACCTCACCGGTGATGAGTTCTGCTTGTGTCGGGAACCACTTTGATGAGGTTGTCAAGACTTTGGCCACTTTAAGACATGGAAGAAAGGATCACATTTGTTAAAACAGAGGTGACCTCAAAGGGTTGGCATTTCTCTGTGTTAAATATAAACATACATACACAAACCTCAGTATAATGGTATACAAATAATAACTAATCATTTTGGAAAATTCATTATGTGCCAGACACATTTCTGTGACTTATATGATTTAATTCTCAGGACACAGGGAGTATTTTCACCCCCTTTCTACAAGAGAGATAAGCTGAGACTAAGGAAGGATAACTAATTTCTCACAAAGCTAGTTGGAAGGATGGAATATAAAACGAAAAATCTAACTTCAGAATACATGGGCTTCCCATGACACTGACTGTCTTATTGTAACTCTGTCACTGAATTAATGGAAATAACTGGGAGCACCTAATTCAGTCTTCTCCCTTTGAGAATGAAAAAAGCAAAAGCTCAAGCAGGGGAAATGACCAGTCCATTCTGGAGCTAGTCAGAGGTAGGGCGGGCCTAGACTCACATGTCTTTGCTCTAGTCTTGTTCGCATACCCCTATCCTGAATCATCCCTCTGCTTATGAAAACTACTCCAGTCAATAAAATAAGTCTTTGTCCATCCTGGGAACACACTTGTGAACCTAACTAGTCAAAGGGCACCTTCACTGCATTATAAGTCAGTGGGCCAAAATCTTTAACATTTAGATTAGAGTAGTGAAGGTTATATGACGTCATTTTTTTTCTTTTTTAAAGATTTATTTATTTATGCATACAGAACTGGGGTATAAGCCAGAGGTATAGGGGCAGTGACATGATTCACCAGAGACAGAATGGGGAGCAGCACAGGCAGATCGGCGAAGTACACTGCTGAGGGGAGCAGCAGGCGGGTCAGGAGAGGTCTGCCACGCCATGTGGGTCAGCTCCGGGGCCGAGGATCTAACTCTCATTGAAGACGCTGCAGCCAGCTTGCAGTGCTGCATCCCTGGCCCGTTGCGCCACCAGGGAGGGCCCTACATGACTTTTCTTGAACTGTCACAGTTATTGTCAGTCTGCACGAATGGTGAGTTAGTTAGGTTTTGCACATTGGCTAGTGTGAAACAAAGAAAAAGAGTGTATTAATCTTACCCTTGCATACTCTTTCCTGTTCTTGGATTCATTTTGATGAGTTTATCAAGGTCTTTGGAACTTTAAACAATAGAGAATCAAAAACATGTAAGTTACAAATGGAACTAAAAAAGTATTTAAATGAAAAGATATATGTGATCAAAGTGATTTTTTTTGTTTTGTTTTGAGAGAAATCGTACCAGTTCTTGCCCTTAGTTTAAGACAGTAAATATTTTTTTTACCTCCATATAAGTCATTAATTGACTCTGTTTTCCACATACCCTCAAAATAAAACCATAAAATTAGAGCAAGAGTAAGTTTTAAAAACATCAAATGACAAAGGTATAACTGACATGGGATCCATAATTTTAACTAAAAAAATGCTCAGGTCAGTGTTGAAGGGACTTGTTCAAGAGCACCCAACTGGAAAGGTGTACGTTCAGATTTTCTTATTTCAGTGCAAAGATTTTTTTTAGTGAAACTTCTCTGATGAATGTTACAAAATGATGCAAATGGGGAAGGAAGACAGTTTAAATAAAATATAATCCTCACCTTGGGCTACTTCTGCTTACATCAGGAGTCACTTTGATGAGATTTTCAAGGCTCTGTCCCCTTTAAAACGTAAAAGAAAGGATGAGATTCATGATACGTTAGCACCAAGCAGAAAAGATTATTCACTAAGTCTCAAAAACAATATAAACACTCACTGAGATTATGCAAAAGAAGTTAAAGTATTGTTAAATGTCCCTACAAAGAAGTTTGTAGGGATTTATGTATCTCTAAAATTTATTGAGACTCAGAGACAACCATCTTGGCAGTTGGCCACTAGTAATACTACACAAGAACTCCATGGCTGTTTCAGCTCATTTGATGCCACGCTCTTAGTTTTTGCCAGTGCACTAAATAATTTATAAGTCTAAATACATCTGTGATGGAACATTCCAGAAGGCACATCCTTTTCATATCAAACTCTAACCTTCTGTGGGACCTTAAAATCAACTTTGGAGAATTCCCATTTTGTCTAATGATCACTGTTAGCAGGTTTCCAATTCACAGCACAGGATTAAGATAAATAGACTGATTTTTAAAAGTCCACAATTTATATCTGTCTCTGGTACATTTAACTGTATATTAAAACTACAAATTTAACTAATTGTGTTGGAAGCAAAGAGTAAATAGATTAAAATCTATAGGGTACTGAAATATAGCATATACTTACCATAATACAAAACACTTCATAGTCTGAAAAACTGACAGCTTTTTATCATTGCCCTTCAACATACTCTGCTTATGCTTTTTAAATATACATTAGATGTTTTTTACTTTAACATAACAGTTTATATTTACATTATTTTGTGCCTCTTTCCATCTCAGTTGTAATCCCTGTGGGCTTCCCATCACCAAATCACCCATGTGCCTTCACCATAGCCCAGTGCATTTCCCTCCCCCACACACCGTTTTTGATCCCATTCCCCACTCCACCTCCATAAAATGTCTCTGGTGGGCCCTCCCGGGTAGCGCAGCGGGTTAAAGCACGGCACCGAGAAGCTGGAGCCACTTCCCGCCTGCCCCAGAGGTGACCACGTGGCATGACAGACCTCTCCTGACCTGCCCACTGCTCCCCTCAGCAGTGTGCTTTGTTGATTTGTCTCCTCTGCTCCCCACTCTGTCTCTGGTGAAGCCTCTTGCCACCCCTGAGCCTCTGGCCTGTACCCCAGTTCTGCATGCACAAATAAATAAATCTTAAAAAAAAAAGTCTTTGGTATATAGCAGTTCGTTATTATTATTATTTTCTCCCCTGGTCCTTTATACTCAGCTATGAGTAAAACCATCTGGTATTTTCCTTTTCTTTCTGGTTTATTTCACTAAGCATGATCCCTTCCAGCTCCATCCACGTTGCTGTAAAAAGCATGTGTTTATCTTTTTGATTGCTGAGTAATATTCCACAATGTATATGTACCACATCTTTTAAATCCAGTCATCTACTTTTGGACATTTGGGTTGTTTCTGTGTTTTCCCAATTGTAAATAGTTGCATGTGATTTTAACAGAATTTTGTTTTTCTTATACATCTACATGTGTTTTTGCATACACAGCACCAGTCAGTGCTCATCTGATCTACACAAATGGGTAACGAACTTCATTGGAAGGTACTACTATAGTCATTTCTTCCACACTGTGGCTCTACTAAGACAGTATCATAAAGTCTCTGAAACTGTCTACACACATCAAAGATATAGATATTTAAAAGCAGCCAGTTGTTGACTCAAGATTTTATTTGTATTTGGATGTCTATTAATGTATACATCCAAGCTAAAATAAACAATTAAATTTTGGAATTTTTTACATGCAAGTAATGAAACAATTAGATTGACAATAGCTATTCAACCCTAAAATAATTCTTACTGATTTTTTTATTACAAAAGTTTATTTTTACATCATTTTGTACATTTTTTTTTTTGCATCTCGATTGTAATCCCCATGCGTTTCCCATCACCAAATAACCCGTGTGCCATCACCATAATCCCATGCTTTTCTCTCCCCCCCCCCGTTTTTGATCCCATTCCCCACTCCTCCCTCACAAAATGTCTCTGGTATATGGTTGTTCATTATTTTTGTTATTTTCTTGCCTGTTCCATTATACTCCTGCTATGAGTGAAACCATCCGGTATTTTTCTTTCTCTTTCTGGCTTATCTCACTAAGCATGATCTTTTCCAGCTCCATCCAAGTTGCTGCAAAAGACATGTGTTTCTCTTTTTTGGTTGCTGAGCAATATTCCATTGTATATATATGTACCACATCTTTTTTATCCAGTCATCTACTTTTGGGCATTTGGGCTGCTTCCATGTTTTTCCAATTATAAATAAAGCAGCAATAAACATGGGGGTACAGGTATCTTTTTCAATCCTTACTGATTTTTTTTTAACCTCTTGTTGATTGTTGTCTAAAGAAAGTAGCCAACTATTTGAGATGTGAGTGCCAGTGACAGAGGGGGGAAAAAATCCTAGATTTCTATAATATTTCTAGATTTGAGGATTCAAAATTTAACACAAAATAAAGCATTGTAACTCTTGGCTTGTAGTATATGAATGCATATACCAACCTATGGAAAGTAGCAGGTGATGATTTAAATAATATCTTTAATAAAAACTAGAAAGAAAATATTGATATCCCCCAGAAAGTCAATATAAATTAAATATTTGAACAATATCTAGATCATTAAAAAATCATAATTCACCTGAGTATTATTACTAGTAATAACTATATATACTATCGGCCAGGCAAGATAGTATCATGACCCCAGTCTTACAGCGACACAGCTAGCCAGTGAGAGTCAGAATTTAAAGCAAGGTCTTTCAGACTCCCTGCTCAAAGTCGCTATCTTACAACCAGACACACCCCGCCAAGGAAATCAATGCTTTCTTCTCAGCTTGTTCATTGCAAAATTGAGCCTGTCATTCAATGGATCGCTGCACTTCTGACCATGACATGGTAATGAAAACAGGACAGCCTGACAGTAAGCACAGCTTTCAGCTAATCCAGCCCCTGCTCTGCTGACTAGGCCCTCAGGCATAAGTGGCATATTTAATATCAGCTAGTAATATCATGTACCAAGTTAACCAAAGCAAAGGGAGTTCAAAGGAAACTGCATGGAGTTACTTGGTACACTCTTCAGTGATACACCAACAAGCTCAGTTTCAAATATATTCCATCTACATTTTAAAAAAATGAAAAGCAAGAAGACATAGGAAGGCCCTCCCTGGTAGTGCAGCGGGTTAAAGCACAGCACTAAGAAGCTAAAGCCACTTCAGCATGAGTTCGATCCCCAGCCCCAGAGGTGACCTACATGGTGCTGAAGACCTCTCCTGACCCGCCCACTGATCCCCTCAGCAGTGTACTTCATCAGTCAGCCTGTTCTGCTCCCTGGTCTGTCTCTGGTGAATCCTCTTACTGCCCCTGCACCTCTGGCCTGTATCCCAGTTCTGTATTCATAAATAAATAAATCTTTAATAATAATAAAAAAAAGAAATAGGCTCTCTAGATTGAATTGCAGTTCATGGGTAAGACTATGCTTTCAACCAAGTATATTTGCTGGGCACTTCATGTAATATAGGTCATATACATGCACTACAAACAAATATACTATGCATGTGCACACACACACTTGATACATACTATTTACAGATCCCACTTTTACCCTACTTAAACATAACCCACATATATACCTTGTGATGGCTAGCTTTGTAAATTACGTCTGTGGGATGAGGTTGCCTAGATACTTGATCAAACATTATTCTAGATGCATCTGTGAGGGTGTCCTGGAGGAGATTAATATTTAAAATGTCAGACTAAGTAAAGCAGATTGTCTTTCTACCATGGGTGGGCCCATACAATCAGATAAAGGTCTCAATAGAATGAAAAGTTTGAATTAAGAGAGACTTTACCACCTGACAGCTTAACTTGAGACATCAGTCCTTGCACTATAATTTCACCACACATAGACCATACATTCAAAGAAATATATCAGTAAGCTCAATAGAGAAGGTCAGTCCAACTCTCAATTAATTTCTCAAAATCTGCTTACTTAATACCCCAGAGTAAAATGCAAGAGATCACTTATGTATATCTTTTGTATGGGGAAAGAGAGCTCAATTTTGTTTGAGTTTCAGTTTACTATTCTGAATAAAACCACTTAAAATTTCAATGAGTTTATAAATCTCAAAGGAAAAAAATTAAATGTCTTACCTCTTGATATTTTTATTTATTTCAGGGTTTACTTTAATATGTCCATTGAGGTCTTGTTTTCTTTGAAAAAGGAAATGTGTTTTAATGAATATTGTTAAAATAAAACAGTAACCTAGTAAGCAATGATGCAGTAAATACACAAGGTCTCTATCAACATAACTTTTAAATCTTTAAATGCAATATAGATTCTTTTACATCTTGTCAAAAACCATTTAATTGTTGTCTTAGTTTGTTAAAAAGCAATACAAGCTATAGCATTATTTTCAAAATGCAGGAAATTAGATAAAACTTGTTATTTAACAAAATCAGTTTTACCCTCTGATGCTGTTAGAGACTTGTTAAAATACTCCAAATGAATAGTATCAAAGTAATAAAGTTCTATGTGAATCTACACAAAACACAAATTTCTGCTCAGCAGAATCAGATATAACTGCCTATTCTGTTTGTAAATAATAAAAATGGTATTAATAACAATTTCAACAGTATTAAAAATGATTAGACTATATGCCTCCATATTTATTCCCACAACTCAAGCCTTTTAAAAATATAATTAGATTATTATGAATTACAAAAGTTAAGAATAAATAACTTGCATGGCAAGAACATTAATGATTTACTTCTCAGCGGGATACTCTCCACACTAACCTGCATTAAGCAATACCTAAGGACGCACAGTGTGAACACGAAGGGACAGAGGAAGGGGCAGAAGGTGTGGTGACTCGGGGCTGCTCCTGCACTGGCACCGCGCTGAGGAGGGGTACTGGGGGTCCCTCCGCCTCACACTGCATGTACCTGTACCTCTGCAGGGCTGCCCTCCCAGACTACTGTCCTTCTAGGAACTGATTTACAAGAGTTTGCTCAAGCCTCCTTAGGCTCTCTTGATCATTTTGGAGATTCAGTTTGAAAACATTGTCAAGAGTGATTTTTTAGACACAAATTCAGTGCAAGCACTCATCCTTAAAAATAAGTGAAAGGTAAACATCTGGAAGACGCAGCTTACTATTAAACATTAGGGAAAAATTTTCCCAAAGAGTGATTTTATTGGAACATGGAAGGAAAGTTGTATGACTCACCATTGTAGTCTAAATCCACACTAATAAAACATGGTTATGAAGTTAAAATGCCATGTTGATTGTCACAGAAGTCAGATTTAAAGACACTAATGAATCTTACCCAGTGGAATATTCACTTCTTTTGGGGTTCACTTTGATAACATGATCAAGGTTCAGTTTCAAAGTATTACTGTATCATTATATATAATATATAATTTTAATTTTATTAAGATTAATTCAAGCTTTTGAAGAAAATTAGTATATTAGTGTTAGATTTATTTTTATTATAAAAATGGCCTTTAATAATATAGTTAAATTAAACTCCATAATTCCACTGACCTATATGCAAATATAAACTTAGAGAGACTACCCTGTAGTCTTTAAAGTGTGGATCAGGGGAGTAGGGTTCAGACACAGAAAAGAGAAGACAAAGATATGACCCCGCCCCCCATCAATGTCACTGAGGAGATCACACAATTAATCTGGGAGCAACTTCCGAAACTTCAAAGCATTTCTCACCCTCATCTATTTTTATCTGTCCTGGTGTTCGGTGTGATAATCATTTCAAAATCCTGACTTCTTTGGAAAAAATATCAAAACCATGTGTAAGTTAGATTACATGCAGTATTCTGTCAAGTCTGTATAAACAAGAATTGCCTGCCCCCACCCCCACACACCAAAAAATACAAGAATGTCCCTGAAAGGGTGTCAGATTTCCAGGGCCCAATAAACAGAAGCATTTTTGATGTCATTATCTTAAGCTTATCTACTCATTTCTACAGTAAAACAACAACAACAAAAAGTTAAGATCGGTTTCGAAAAGCTGCTTCTCACTTTGTGACTTTGTCCTTTATATTTCTGAAATAAATATAAGTTAGGCTCATTTAAAAGTGACTAGGACATTAAAGCATAAGATATTATGTAGCAGATTTTCCTATACTTACTTGAAGGCATTTAAACATGGAAACAACATCCTTTATATTCCTTTGTTATGACCCCTGATAAGTCTATAATTGCAACACTTAATCTGTGATAAAGAAAGGCCATTCCATGGCCCTCCCTGATGGCGCAGCGGGTTAAAGCACAGCACTAAGAAGCTAAAGCCACTTCTGCATGAGTTCGATCCCCGCCTGCCCCAGAGGTGACCACATGGCGGAGGTGACCACATGGCGCGGCAGACCTCTCCTGACCCGCCCGCTGCTCCCCTCAGCAGTGTACTTCGTGATCTGCCTGTTTTGCTCCCCACTCTGTCTCTGGTGAATCCTCTCACCCTCTGCATCTCTGGCCTGTATCCTAGTTCTGTCTGAATAAATAAATCTTTAAAAAAAAAAAAGGCCATTCCAATTCCTATGAGGTAGAACAGCTAACCTGAAAAATGCCTGTCACTGTAAATGCTTTACTTACCCTTTCTCCTGCTTGTCAGACTTTTGGTTGACTTTAGTAGGGTTCCCAAGGTCTTGGCTTCTTTGTAACATTGCGCACAGGGAGGGGTGGAGCAACAAAGTAAAAGAGAGAGAGAAAGAACAATTCAATTTTTTATGACAATAGCAGGTTCCTCCTATAGGAATGTGATACTAAGTAGTACCTAATACTTTAGTAGTACTAAAGTATTAGAATTATTGTATTCAACCGGCTCTACTGCAAAATGCTGAAGAGCTGATACAATCTGAATGAGGTCCAAATCATGATATGCTTACTAATGAATCAATTTTAAATTAAAGTTCTCTCAGATTTCAGTTTTTGTTGTTATTTGAGGGTGGATTGATGGAAAGCTAACTTGAACATTTGTTGAGATATTGTTTACTTTAGGCATAGTATCTTTCAAATCAGAGATGGAAATCAGATGAACAACATTTAAATCTAAACATTTTGAAGATTTAGACAAGTCATTTTTAATAAAAAGCTCAAGGTTACGAAGTTACCTTGGAAAAGGAAAAATAATGCTGAGGACTCCAATTTACAACATAAATTGACACTTTTCACATGCTACTCAATTTGAATACATGCAAAGCAATACCTCTGCAGTCCCCTGGGCCGTTTTCATCTGTTTCTGGTGCTAAGACAGGGCTGCTAACACCTTAGGGTTTTTCAGTGTAAAGGAGAAGGGAGGCAGGAGCGATGGAAAGGGAGCCCCTTCTCCACCTGCGATCCATCATTCCTGCATCAAAGTCTACTTTCAGATGCCAAATCACTTTGCTTTTCTCCTCTTTTCTAGCCCACAAAATGATTTGGTTGTAATATTCGTTCTACTTCTCTGACTTCCTACCCCATTTTTAGAATTATCCAAACTTCATTTTTTAAATATTTGAAATCTCATCTTCACCTGGAAAACACAAAACCACACAGAGAATTGGCAGCTTTTCTACTTCAATTGTACTTCATTTGAAAAAATTCACCTGCAATAATACTTGCACATTTTACATAGCATAAAGCAATATGTTGTTAGCAAGCATGTTCCTGATGAGACTGACTTCTATAAAGCTAGAATATTGCTCTGTGCACAGATTGGCACCAAAAAATGTCTTTTCAAGATAACTGAGGCAATAGAATAATTCTCAGAATTATTCAGAATTTGTCAGAAAGGCAAATTTGATGATTAACCAAATACAAGATAAAGAGTCAATCTGCAGAAAACGTACTAGAGGTCTTTAAATGCTTACCCTTTGTCGCTCTTGATTGTTCTGGGGTTTTCTCTAATGAAACTGCTGAGAGTTTGATTTCTTTCACCATGAAAAATAATAGCAACAATATAAGTGAATTCTATAGTATGTCAAGGTCAGTCTAGAACTATAAATTGACCTCTTAAATCTTATCAATTCAAGTATTGATCATTCACTAATCCTATCAATTCAGGTACTGATCATTCATTAACAAAATAAATGAAAGCATGGTTGTTGTTCTGAGATATTTACAGATAGATTTAAGCAACTCAACCAAGATCTATCTGAAAACTGCTTTAGTACATTATAAAGATTTTAGTGGTGAAGAGCCAAGTTCCAGCACCAAATGTCTTATAATAATCAAAAACCAGCCAGTTATATGTCTTTCACTTTTAGAAACAACAGTGACCTTGGTGATCATCTGGGTCATACCCTTCATTTTATGGGCTGTAGAAACAGGTTTCCAGAGGTTAGATGACTTGCCCAGGGTCATTGAGATTGATACAAAGGGCAAGCCAATACCAAACATCTACCCCTCTCCTAACACTGATTGGGGACCTGACACCCTGGCCTGCCTGACCCTCTCGCTGAGCAAGAGGTCTTCCACAGGAACTGGGTGCAGCACATTATAGAAACAGTCTAGGACTTTATCAAAGAGGCCTGTTAGAGTCTTAATCAAATCTTACCCTTTTCCATCTTTATCCATCAAGGAATTCAAAAAGATGAGATTTTCAAGGCTTTTGGCTCTGTAGAATACAAAGAATTCAAGTAGAAGACTACACAGTGAAATAAAATTTTGTGGTATCTTGAAAGGTCAGATACAATAAACATTCTTCATGAATTGCTCATTTACTCATATTGAATGGAAGAGCAGAAATCCTTCTGGGCAATTATGTCTGAACTAAATGGATAATAGTGAGAGAGCTACCCCATCTGCTAGTATATTTTTATGCCAGCGGATACAACTTCCTTCCAGCTAATGTCTGAAAGAATAAAACCAGCAATCTGGGGAGATTATATTTTCAAGTTAGAGACAGATGTACTTACCTTTTCTCTGTTTGCTCTGTCTTAGGATTTGCTCTGAAGAGACCGTCAAGACCTTGATTTCTTTAAACATATTGAATAAAAAACCTCATCAGTTAACAGATAGTTAATTCTATGGAAACAGGCTATCTGACATCTAAGATAGGAAAAAGAATTTATTCCAAGTAAGTATTTTCATAGACACAAAATTTAAGTTGCAGTGGAACTTACTGTATTGTATATTTTCAAGTTACAAAGAGAGTATCTTTGTATTCTCTTTGTTCTTGAATGCTCTTATTACAAGAAAAAAAAATGGTTATTGTCTATGGCAATGGATGTTAAGTAGACTTCTGGTGGTAAACATTTTATATACAATGTAAATATCAAATCACTATGTTGTAACTAATAGAATATTATACCTAATATACCTATTAATTAACTCATTTGCTATTTGCTTGATTCCCCTTCCCTGGAGTGCCTATCCATTTGGTATCTTAGTATGCAAAGTAGCAGAGGTAGCTAAAACTGCACATACCTCAAACACAAACTTCAAGTACTATAATTTTTAACTTTAGTAATTGGTGATTCAAAATAAAGTCATAATGTTAACTAAGACAGGAGTAGGCTTTGTATGAAATGAAAATTATTCAGTGACCAAATCAAATTCTGCTTGTATATTAGTTTCCTAGTATTTCAGCAAAAGAAATGTGATTAGTTATGTAACTACCTGATAAAACAAATGGAGAATGAAAATTAAAAAAATCAAAGCCTTTAAGATAAGCATATTTATACCTTAACATTCATAATAATGCTGAAATGATGATGTTTTCTGCAAACTTTTAATTCAAGATTTGTAGGAAACTTTTGACTACACCAGCGTGTGGATCCTCATGTTCACAGATGGATAAAACAGAAACCACAAGACAAAATTCAGTAAAAATAAAAAAACAGACATTTAAAAGTCTTACCTACTCAAGCTTTTGTTCATCTGGATCAGATTATCCAATTCTTCACTTTTGGGAAAAAAAAATCTCACATCAGTAAAAGTCTACCCAGAGTCAAACAACTGTTTTTTTTTGTAGTTCTCTGAAGTATATCTTCTACCTTATCAGCTCCATGGTAAAATCCTGTTTACTCTTCATGACTCACCTCAAGCTTGGCTCTCTAAGAAATCTTTCCCAGTTTTTGAGCTGAGTAGGGTCCCCTGCATTTTTGGAACCCTTGCGACATTTTTATTTTTTTGTTTGCATCTCCTCCAGAGCATTACTGATCACTTGTCTCTGGTCAATGCTCATCTTCCAAAGGCACTCACAATCTAAAACTTCATTTTATATTGGATCCTTCTAAAATATTCCTTAGAACCACATGAGCTCAGTTCTTTCTTCCAAGAAGGCATCCTCCATGTGTTCCTGCTCCTGTTTGTTCCTCACTATTTTCTCTTCAACTATTCTGTCCTCCTTTACCCTCATTTCTTTTACCTTCTTCATCCTGTCCTTTAGTTTTCAAATCATATTCCTCCTCCTTTCCTGCTCTAGAATCATCCACATAACACATTTTCTCAGGGTTCCTCCTCCTTCATGAGTCATGATTGGTGTTGACCAGGAGACTGTGAGGCCCAGTAACTCAGGAGTTACACAGTCAGGACCCCAAGTCAGGGACACCAATCCTGGATACACCACTATGGTGGAAGACCCTTGGTGAATTTACCTAACCTTTGCTGTGCCCATTTTTCCATCTGTAAAATAAGAAAACTACTTGTTCCTATCTCAGAAAAGAATCTATGAGCTAATAAATATAAAATGTAGGCCCTCCCTGGTGGCACATTGGGTGAAAGCACACTATAAAGCTATCCACAGCCACTGCAACACAAGTTCGATCCCCAGCCAGGGAGGTGACCCACATGGCTCAGCAGACCTCTCCTATCTTGCCCGCTGCTCCCCTCAGCAATGTAGGTCAGTAGAGCTGCCTGTTCTGCTCCTCACTCTGTCTCTGGTGAATGCTCTCACATCACCCCCCTGCTCCCCCCCCCACACCTCTGGCCTGTATCCCAGTTTTTGGATAAATAAATAAATAAATAAATAAATCTTAAAAAAAAAAAATACAAGTGTGCTTCATGATGTCTAGCAAGCCATAAACTCTCAATTAAATTTGGTCATTGTAATAACAGTTTTCCAACACTCTCAATTTTTTTTTCATTCAATCAATACATACTATCATTACACATGAAATTGTATTTGGTGATACCAAGATTTTGGCTCAACCTTAAAGAGGTAGAGTCCCTGAGTCACTTTGGGTGATTTGAAGATAATTTGGCACAAAGTAGCACAAGAATAGCTGCTGGGGCTCTACAAGTCTCTTCTCAGAACTCTAAAAGCATGCTAAATTAACAGTCATCACTTAATCGATCCTTTTGAGTCATTTTTCATAGCATGTGGAGGGTTGAACGCTAATAACAGTACCAAACTCAAAAACTGAAATACAAAAGCTACTGATCCTGACAAAAAATTAACTTGCTCTCCTTGTGTGGGGACAGACACTATCTGGTCTTCCAACACAATGCTCCATTGTTGTATCTCTTGCTTGAAATTCTACCTTCTGACTCTAAGGCTAAGTACCCTCCAGGGAAAAAGCAGACCCAAGAGTCCTGTAAATCATAGCCTCAGACCTTTGTGACCAGAGTGAGTCACAGTGAGATTACCAATTTGGGTTTGCTGGTCGTTATCACAAGAAAATTAGCATAAATCATGAGAAGAGACTGTGGGAAGTAAAATGAAATGGAGATTGTATTCTGAATAAAAGAGTGAGCTTTTAAAATGACTTTAAATTGCTGAGAGCTTTGGAGATTAAGTTTCACCATTGCATTTGTGATAAATTAAATGCTCTTAGTCAGATAAGAATGAGGGTCCATTTCCCAAAGGAGCATTACAAAGAGCAGCTGGGATAAATCAAGCTACTTCTAGTCTCAATGGATGACCCCAGTAATAACAATAAGCTATGTCAATGGAACAGACATTCCCCCTGATCCCTGTCAAAGTAGTAGCTTCTCCTTGTGAAGAATATCTCTGGCACTGGAACTTGTCAATTGTGGTTAGGGAGAGGGGACAGGGAAAATTAACTCAAATTTTCATTATTTTTGCTTGACTCATCTCAAATCATAATTTCCCTTCAACATCACTCACCTATCTCTCTCACAAATGTCCTGATCACCCATCAAAAACTATTCAGTCCCTAAAAGGATGAAATGGGCTGTGGTGGATGACTCCGAGTTCCTTGGTGATGGGAATAATGTGGTGACACATATCTGAAGGGTTTAGTAAACTGTTGAGTTATCTCATTTAAAAAAAATAATGAAATATTATTTTAAGCAAAATTAGAGGCCCAAGCAATTAAGATGAGAGAAGACATGAAACACTCAAGATACTAGGATTCAGAGCTCCAATTACACTTATGAGTTTGCACAGAAGAGTTAAATGTCACTTATGTTTTTTCTCTTCAGTTCTTTTGATTGTGCTTGTGATACCTAGTATCACTCTAAGCATTATTAAATTCTATAAGCAAGGAAAACTTTTGTGGATGTGAGATATAAATTATGGAATTTTTTACTCAAGATTTTCACACTGCTTACTGAACATAATCTATTGCATAAATACCTACTTTGCACAAAGCATCATAGCAAACTCTGCAAATGCCATATTGTAAATACAAAAAAAATCAGCACTGAGAGATAAAAGAGATGATAGAGAGGATGGGATATTTGCATCAATAGTATGAAGCAATCACAAATATGATTAGTGATTATAAAACATGAATAGTGAGGTATCTGATAGCTTAGAGAGGCTGACATCACATTTCAATAGATCACTCAGGGAATATCTCACAAAGTAGGTGATATTCGATCTGTATCTTCATAAAAAAGTTGGATTTGGAAGGACTGTTATGGTTGCCTTGAAGCTGGAACAGTCAATGGGTAGAATGTCATAAATAAAGCATCTGAAAATTCTAGAAAGGAAGTGATTTAATTCAGCATTGAATGTAGTAATGTGAAGTGAGAAATAACTCTGGAATATTAGATTGAAGCCAGATTAGCAAGGGCCTTAAATGAGGTTATATGTAATTGAACAGATAACACAGAGTGAGTGGATAATTGTTCAACCTTAGGAGGAAAACTGACAATGATGGGTAGTGATGGTTTAGTGGAGAGAGAGAGAGACTGGAGGCAAGTAAGCAAATCTGGAAAGTTGCTTTAACAGTCTAGGCTGGGGTCAGCGAGTTTTTGAACTTGGGTAGAGGTCATATAGATATGATGGTTCTTTAAACACTTAATCCGCACATGACTGAGATGACATAGAAGGGAATGACATGGATGAAATCAAGAATGACCACAGAACAGTGAGCTTGCCTGAATGAGAGGACAGTGGATACGTCAGGAAATAGTGCATGTAGGAAGGAAGTTGACTCTGGTCTAAGATACTCTAAATGGGGTTGCTGAAGAGAAGTAGAGATCTGGACAACATAAATTCAGCACTGGAGACTTGGCATGAGGCCAAGCCCGCAGAGAGTGCAGTCACCACACAGTTTGTGCGGACACTAGAAAAGGAAGCAGAGTATCCACAAATGTCAGTAACACCTAATCTTCAGGAACATTTGTCTAGAGACACTGCTTCTTTCTTCTTTTAAGTTTATATAATAAACAGCATTGGAGTTTTGTTCATATGTGGAACTCTTAAAGGTATGCCTCTTAAGCATTTTTGAAACATAAAAAAATATATATATACTCAAAAGCTCTGAGAACTCATTTGGGAACTCACCCCTTATCAGTCTTCTGAAGTGAAGAGGCCACTTTGACAATGTTCTCAAGATCCTGACTCCTTCAAACAGCGAAAAATAAAAAGGAGTTAAAGATAGTAACCTTTGAAGTAGTCAAGGTTTCTTATCTGTTTTCAGTGAAAAAAGCGATAGTCCAAATACCTGCAATTATGACTGAGGTTAACTGAATAGCAAAATAATTCCAACATATCTGTCCTGGTACACACACACTCTCACGCATTCACCATTCCACCTGGGTGTTGGCTCTGCCACCTAGTGCTCAGTAAAATAATTACAGTTTCTCCTTCAGATGTTGGCTGTTCCCAGGTCCCACATTTAAAAAAGGATGTGGAACTAAACAAAACAAAACCAAATTTTTAAACAATAAAACCAATTTAATGATTATTTGGGGGATGAGCTGGGTAAATCAAGCAAGAAAAGGGTCATCTGTAAATAGAATTGGATTTTCAGTAATAAGATTAATATATACAGGTTAGTTTACAAAGAGGTACAATTGCTAAATGTGTACTGTTATAGTGTAATGTTATTTCAATTAAAAGTTTTAATGCATGGAGAAATGAAAATACACATTAATTTCAAAAGTATACATGTAAATATGTTCAAAAGCTTTCTATCGGAACCAACGAGCATTCAGCCGTGTATCTAAATGATGAGTTATTCCCTCACATGAGGTGAATGTGTTTGTCTTGCTAGGCTTCCAAAGTGAAAAAAGTACATTTTAAACTGTAGGGCAGTTGGAAGCACTTGAATCATGTGGTCTCCTGAGATCATGAAAAAGAATCACCGAGTATGTCCTTAGGTTTCCACAGACCTCAACGTGTGTCCAGAAATAGAGCATTTGGGAATGAAGTTGACGCTGATGTAAGACATTCAAAGTAGGGTTCCTTCACAAACAATGGTCTCGTCAAACATGATATGGACTCCACAAAGAAAGAATTCTATAGTTAAGCAAATGTGAGAAGTGTGATCTACTCTGGAGATTCAGGAAATGCATGAGCACACTGAAGATTCTGAGAATTTCTGTGGCAAAGAACTCCATTTTGTGTTTTCTAAATGTGTTGAACTATTAATCTTTTCTTTCATGGAACATGCATTGACATCTTGGGTACATGGGACACAAGTCTGGAAATTGCTATGGAAACACTTCACTTTAAGTTTACTGGTCTTCCCAAAGACCAGACATCCATATGCTATATGTTTCAACTTTGGGGCTCAGGGACTCCACTGAATCCCAATTTGATCTCAAAGTAGATCACAAAATTTTTGACAGAAAAAATGGTTTATCATAATGGTTAAGATGATAATTTAATGTTATATGTTTTTTACCATAATGATAGATGGTTAATCAAATTAGTAGACCTAGAATACAACTCAAAAAGTAATTTCAAAAATACTGTTATTTTTTTTTAAAGGAAAACATTTATAACAAATACTAAACTAGATGGGAAAAACAAGAGAAGAGGCATAAATCAGGACCCTCCTGGGGAAATATCACCCAAAGGCTTCAACACGATTTGTGAGAACCTTCCTGAAGATGCAGATGGTACGGGATGTTACCTTCTACAGCACACTCTGACAAAGTTTTGTGGAACAAGTTCAAGCAAATGACCACATTTTCAGCTATTTATGTAAATGTAAGCCTCAACTATATTGTAGACTTTGGTCTACTGCTGGGATTAAAGAGGTATTTTCCTCTCTTAAGAAGGTTGATCCTATCCTATGATCACATTCACACAATTTTAGTTCTTTTCTTACTATAAACGTGAGACAGAGACAAAAGAAATAAAATGGTGTAAATACATACAAAAGTCACTACATAGAAGTCAATGGAAAATTGATTTTATCTATTTCATTATTATTTGTTTTGTATTTTAAGTGTTCTTATAAAGCATACGTAATCATTTCTCTAACGACACAGATATAGGTTTGGTACCTTAGATTTCTTTCAGCAGATCTGTGGGCTTCTGTGTGTACACCTGGTTTAGGTGGACATATCTGCCTATAAAGTTTTAAAATTAAAGATTATAAGTGTTAGGTTACAAAAGCCTTTGTTAAATCTAAATTTAAAGAAAAACATGCAGATTCATCGAAGTTGTTGGAACCATCGCACTACTTGAGAGAACAAGCTTTGCCTTAGTTCTGGGTACGTATTTTAGTAACTTTTTTTTGCATCATTGTAGTCCCTGTAGTTCTCCTGCCTTAGCACCGCCTGAGAACCGTCACCATCTTCCCTTGTGTTCATCCTCTCTCTGTCCCCCCCCCCACACACACTGCTCCAAACCCCCACCGCTTGCTTTGCTGTCTTCCTCAGCTCTATGGTCAGCTGCTCATTTTGACTTTCTCTTGACCTTTCATTTGGTTTCTCTTCTTTTGGTAAGTTTGAACTGAACCACCTTTTATTTGAATTGCTAGAGTCCAATGCTCATTTTGCAGGTTAGCCTAGCTCTTATTATTTTAACTACTATGTATGACTAGAAATAACCATTCTGAATATATATGGATGCTTATTTTTGAGTTTCCTGTAATCAATAAAGCATATCTATATTTATCATTACACATACTAACATAACATTTTAATTTGTTAAGGATCTTTTTGTTATTAGTCATTGAAGGGAAGATGTTTTTCTTAAAAATTTATTGTAAATTAATCGAAAAGCATATTTGCTCAGATATTATGGAAATATTTTTATAGATCCAATACACCTACCACATTAAAAATGATAAAATTGAATTGACAGATTAAATTTTTAATTGTTAGGGACTGTCACAGTTCATGATGTAGTGATTTTCTCTGCTCTTTTTCTAAGTATTTTATTGTCCTACTTACAAATTCATGCTTGTTCCAAGAAACACTATTCAACTATTTTTCTGTCCTCCTGAGGACAAGTGTTAATTACATAAGGAAGCACTTTCCTTTCATATTCTTTCATTAAGACCATCTTACTGTGATTAAAGTAATCAGGATTTAAAACACGCAAGTTGTCCTAATTTTATTTTTAAGATCACTGGTGGGAGAAATTGAGTAGTAAAAATGGATTAGGCTAATTCCTATGAAGTTTAGCTTCTTTTAAATCTATGCAAGTTCACTGCTTTAGAGTCACTGATTTTAGATTAGAATTTAGGTGGTATTAAAGCCAATTTATTTTGGTCCTCTCAAAAACACTTTTTCAAGTTAATTTTTAATTGCTCAATAGTATGAGAGTAAAAGGTAAAATAACATAAGGTTAAAAGCTTGAGGATTTATTTTTAAGAGTACAATTGTAATATTATGCAATAAAAGGCTATAAATCTGGCCTATGTTTTTTTTTATTATATTAGTTTATTTTTACATATTTTTGTGCATTTTTCCATCTCAGTTGCAACCCCCTTGGGGTTCCCATCACTAAATCATCCATGTGCCATCACCATAGTCCAGTGCATTGGTCTATATTTTTAACTAATTCAGTAAAATATTCCCTAATCTCATTTTTAAAAATGTTACCCTCTCATCTTAAGGAGCAAAAATTTAAAGGCTCCAGAAGTCTCTCTGAGTGTGAATTTAGAACTTGGTTTGTAATTCAATAGACTGAACCCTAATGCTATACAGTCCTGTATTCAGTTAGCACTTTCTAGCTGAAGTTGCCCTCTTACTTAAGACTAGCTCCAGAATTATCTTCTTGCTGTCAAAAAATCACCATCAAATAACAAAAATACAAAAGAATCAAAGAGAGGCAATCAAGCAGATGTAATGAATTCAGTCTACATCGAGATACCATTTTTTTAGATCTCACAATAATAATGAAAATGTGCAACATCAACTTTGAAAAAATGGTTTGAGATTATAAAATAGTTTAGCAGGAACATATGGGAAGACTTTCAGCTCTCTAACTTAATTTCTAAGTATTAATTATCGAGTGACAAAGATTCAAAGCAGAAAGCAAGTTTGTCTTTTTTTCTTGATTTGAAGACAAGTTAATGAGAATATTTTTCCAAATTTGTGATAGTTTTGAAATAAATTACAAATGTCACAGTTAAAACCAGACTGAAAAACTAAAGCTATTTCTAAGACAAGTGGGGGCCTAAAAGTAACACAAAGTTTTAAAATGTCTTTTATCAGAAAATACAGCGCTTAATGGTAAACTTTACTAAGAAATCTATGTAGACAAATGCACTTTGTGGCTGTATACTAAAATAATATGTACGTCTCAATGCGCATATGTGTATTATATATGTATACATTTACTTATATTCAGAAAGAGAAGTTCCACATACATTATTCTTAATATATAAACTAGAAGAAATCTGAGGACAAACACTTCTTAGACATGACAAGTGTTCAGTTTCTATGCTGAAGGTGCATTTCCAAAAGACAAGTAATGATCATAAATATGCCAAAGTAAACACACACTAGTGTTAGCAAATAAAATTCAAAAAGTTTTACAAGTTTCTCAGAAAATGAGCATGTAATTTATACTTATGCTTTGCATAAAAGAGGTCATGATTTATTTGCTTTTTTGCTCCTCCTGAATTTCTCAAGAACTTCTGTAATGCAAGGTCTTACCTATTATCCCGTCTCGGCAGGTGAGGAGATGCAACAGGGGAATTGGGCTTTGGAGGTATGGGAGGGTGAACAGTTGTCTCCCTTGGAAAAAAGAAAGCAATTCATTTCACCATGGAAATATGGTAAACTTAGTTATTTTAATCAAATGCATTTATTGCTTAGGTGGGAATATCTTGTACATATTATGAGCTCCTTGCTAATAAAGAGGTCAGAGTCTATGAAGCACTAAACATTAAAGAAGTTGAATATTTAAATCACAGATATTTTAAAATTCATTTAATCATATTATGGGAAACCTCTTCTTTTCACTATATATATATAATATATATTCATAATATTCACACATATATCCATAATATATATTCATATATATGTGAATATATATAATAAATATATTCTTTAAACAGTTTAATATTTTTCTAGAATACCTAGCTCAAATTGTGGCATTTTGTATCAGCAGCAGCATGTGAGCACAGGAAATGATTCTTGGGAATTAACATATAAGCTTCTTTGGGAATTATGTCAACTATCAAACTACTACAGACATAGCAAAAAAGGTTTGCAATCCCCACAGGCCTTGAGGTAAAGTTGATTTTGAAATTTAACTTAATCTGATTAAACTACTGTCAGCACAGGCTAGTGTGATACTAGCAAAGCGAATACATATACTGTCAGCCTAAATTTTCCAGTGAAACTCCAGTGCCAGGTTCTGAGCTGGCATGATTTAATGACCGAGCAGCTGGAGAAGAGCAACTAGTCACGCATTTTAGATGGTGCAACACCTTACCCAGTACCTCCTCCCCCTCACACCACTCCCACCCCAGTTATTCTCTATTATCCTCCAGATAAGCCCCACACCTACTAAGAGAGCCCTTGTGAACTGCACCCACTGAACCCCCTGCCTCCTGCCCAGGGCAGATAAGTGCAAGGGCTCTGGAGTCAGGCTGCCTGAACTGCCAGCTGTTACATGGGTTACCTTTTCATTTCTTTATCTGTAAAAACCCTTCTGATAGGAGGGCAGGGTGTTGCCAGGACTGAATGAGATCATGCTTTTATGTAACATTTAATGGTAACTTTCTGTACATATAGGCATTTTGTAAATGAACTGTTTCTCTTTTTCAAAAGGCTTTTACTACACAAAGAAATAAATAACAGATGAAGAAAAATATTATGAAGAAAAATAAAACAGAATTAGAGAATGTTAAGTGTGCAGATGCTATTGATAGATGAACAGAACAAAGGTAGGAAAGTTACCATGGTTTTGGCAATATAGTGATCATGGGTCAGTTTTGAGGGAACAGTGGTGGAAAAAACATGATAGGAGTGGAGGAAGCCACTTCCGCATGACAGGAAGCCAGGAAGTAAAGGCACTGATGTAGATAATCTTTAGAGCTATTTTGCAGTGAGAGGAAAAAGAAATGGGTAGTTTGGTGAAGGGTGGTGGATTGAGGGATTTATTACTACTTGTGTATACAAAGATGGGAAAGTTACAGGTAAGATGCTAAATTGAATGGTGCAAAGAGAGGATAGGAAGTTGCTAGACAAATTTGCTCAAGGTGTGATGGGGTGGCTAAGCCCTCAAATAGGCATGCAAATGTTGCTTAGGTGTGTGTGTGAGACAGAGAGACCTGAATCTGAGCACACAATGCAGAGATGGCTTGGGGAGCTCCCAGGTGTGTGAGAGGGAGTTAAAATACACACAACGTGGGTGTGCAGTTGTGAAGGCCAAGAAAAGCTGAGGGCATATTCATTTCCGAGGGTGATGCATTTATACCCTGCTGGGCCAGGACCAGGCAATACCACAGCTTCAGTTCACCTCAAAGGAGCTTTCATTTGCATCTCTGTTATGACAGCCACAGATGACGGAACTCAAGCCCCCTGGGGCAATGAGAGAAGTCATTCACACTGTGCCAGGAGCTCAGTGTGATGCCAGGCAGGGGGTTAAAATGCCAGAATGAGGCAGGAAGCTGTGGCCCAGAATGATTTAGAGAAAGAAACAAGAGACATTCATGTGGAATGATTCTGTCTGAATATCACCCTGAGATGCCATGTTTCAGTTTGGATAATTTGACCTTGGCTCTCCCCTCTGCCCTTCCCTCAACCCCTTAAGACCTTTTGCAGGATCAATGCCATCTCTTCAGTGACTATAATTATAAGGAATAACTTTCAGGAGTAAAAAGGCAACTTTCACAAGAAGCACTTGAAAATTTGTAGATACTAGCCCAAATGTCAGTGCTCAAAGAAACAACATTGTAAAACTATGCACCCTATTTCCTTTTCATTTGTTGCTGCAAAGATCACTTCTTTTCATTATGACTTTTTAGGAAGATATAATTGGCTCTTTGACGGTCATTCTAGAATGACTTGGTGAAGAACACCTCTATGGTTGCAGCACAGGCCTAGGTAGAAACAAGAATAATGGACTCTAAGAGTTAATTGCTAGTTTCATTTTTAGTTTCCACTGTGCTTAACTTCTGTATCCCACAAATTGAATTTTTACTCCAACAATGGCAAAGGAAATGGAACCTATATTCTTTGGTTTCAGTAATATGCCAATTTTGTCAGACTCATGCATTCAGTATTTTACTCAATTCAGCATCTGTCCTGTGGAGTGCATATCATTATTATTATTTTCACTGAGTCTAAACACAAAGGTAATTTGTCCTGGGTCAGACTGCTTGTGGCTTAGTCTGGGATTTGCCGCCTTCTTTCTGACAGCAAAGTCTGTGCTTTTTTTTTTTTTTTCTCCCTATTTCATACTATTTCATACCTACTTTCTAGATTAACATGGCTATTAACTCACTTTGACCCTCGAAAGAGTGCTGGTTGTGATCTGCTGCTTCACAACAGAGTAGCCTCGCTCAGCTCTGCCGCTGGCAAACCACTATGCAACTGTGAGTTGGCAGAGTTGCTGCCAGGAAGTGCCCCCCCCCCCAGTTTCCCGAGTATGAGGACAGCTAAATAAATGTTGGTCCTTGCACGCCACCAATCCCATCGCCTTCCCCTGGCTCTCCCCATTTTTGAATCTGAAGTTTCCCTGCTTCATCATATTTCAAGTGGCTCCCTGGGTCCAGGGCCTCAGAGGGAATCTGAATCGGTGGAGGGAAGTGGTGGTGGTTCTATTTGTTTTCCTTGAAAAATGTGTTAGTTAGAATTAGAAGATCCAGGGACTGTCTATGTTCACCCCACGGGACTGAGTTAAAAATAACTCACAGCTAAAGAATAAGACTTAGTTTTCCATATCCTGAGTTAGCCTTGTCTTTGTTCCATCTGAACAATACTTTCTAAAATTAATCAGCTTTAATTCAGATTAATGTTTTATTATGTTAAATTTGCAATGGGTGTTCTGGAAATTTAGATAAGATTTTAGTCATGTGCTTTGATATTTTACTCAGTCTTAGAATCTTTATTTTTTATCAAAAAAATTATAATTAATGTAAAAAAGACATTTATTGAAATAAAATAAAATAAGTTGTTTTTAGTTTGACAGCAAAATTTCTTCATGGTTTGGTATCAGTAGAGTTAAAGATGTCGCAGCATGATGAGAAAGATTACATTTTCCCATTTATAGTTAGAAATAGAAAAATATAACTGTAGTGCAAGGTTGCCATGGCAACTCACTTCTCAATCAGGCTATTTTTTCCACCTTCAACTCTACCAATCAGCTAGCTGGCAGTGGAAACCACTAAAGGAGAAGAGGTTGAAATAAATATGGGTGAGAAATCATGAAAGCTTGAGCAAGCATTTAATTCCATGGTAATTTTCCTAGGTGTGTTTTCACTGTTAATTTTATCAGTATGTATTTTTTTCCTCTATCTTTGAAAATGAAATCACATGTACAAAAAAAAAACCCTACATTTGTGTTGGCTGACTCTGAATTAGTGGGCAACACCACAAACATTCACATTGTCTATTAAACAACTACATTTTGAAAGCTCAAGTAGCCACAGGGACAGATAAGTCAACAGGGATTCACCAGCAAGGTCCTTCGTGAATGGGGAAGAGCAGTTTCTGTGAATGAATGGTAGTGGCAGCCGGAAAATATCAAGACTTCCAAGAACTTTTGGTAGATGGAAGGATGGGGTATGAATCAAATGGGTCTATAAGATGAGACTATCAATTTCAGGGAAGCTATTTTTTTAAGATGCAAAAGTTTTGGAGATGAAAAGAAGGCAAACCAGTGAAGCAGGCTTGATCAGAAAGATATTAGGAAAGGCAGATGAATACAGTGGGGAACAGTTACAAGAAAGCTAAAATTTTAATTTAATTTTGGTTAAAGTGAAAAGAAACTATAGGTTCTGGGACATTTGATTAGATTTCAGAAGAAAACATCTCATTGCCACAGGTTGTTCAAAACATGAGCTGGTTGTGTCCCTTCCAGCAAGGGAAGGAAGAAGAGGTCAGAGTTCTTGCATACAAATGACCGAGGGGCTACCTTAGAAATCACCTAGAAAAGGGATTATCTACGTTCAAACTTTACCTTTTACATCTCACTATCATGAGTTACAGCTTCTCTCCTATCTCAAAAAAGGGACAAGTGGCATTCAAAGATACTCCATTTTAAACCCCCAAATTTTATTTGATCACCCAGGTCTTAAATCTTTCACTTCAAGACTCACATATATCATAAATACAACACTTGTTTTAGGAAGCTATTTTTTTGCCATTAACTATAAACTATGCTATCTTAGAAAACTATATTAACTGTAAATAGAATTACATTAGATATAAATTTAAATACAGACTTACATAGTCATAGGTACAGACAGTGATACACACATACCTAAAGAGGTGATACCATAGGTCTTCTGTTAAGAAAGATTGGTGTTCAGCTTAGTTTGTGTCTGTCATCAATTTTTAATCCAAACACACCAACACAAGTGTTCAGACCCAAACACAACTAAGTTTGACTTCCTCCACAATAAGAACAACTGCCTGCGGAATGGAATGACTCTTGGTATCAAAGGCTACAAAGACATCAAAGAGGTGGAGAGACAAAAGGCAAAGGACTCCCTCCTGCCACGACTGAATGTGGTGGCACTAACAGGCATTTGGGGAGAGCATGAAGTAACTGGGAAAGATTAGGCAATAGAACAATGAAGATGCACAAAATGAAGAGCAGGAAAGAGAGCAGCGAAACCAGGTTAAAGGGGGGAAATTGTAAGAAAGGAGGGGAGAGAAAATGTAGAAGACAAGAGTACATGAGAAGGATGAAAGGAAATGAGACCAGTATTGAGCTATTAGCTAGTGTTAAAAATCATAGTTCCCGTTTCTGTTTTTGACCTCACCTCACTTTCTTTTGGGCTCCTAAGGGGACAAAGATTTCATTTTGAAAACTTCGCTTTCCTTTATCATTTAATAATTGCTTCTATTTTTCAGCTTTTACTAAAAAGGCTATTTCTCAGCTCTGGGAATGCTTGGCATTAAAGGTGAGAAACAGAAGGTATACTTTGAGCTCTTGCAAAGAAAAGCACTTCAGAAGTCAAAGCCTTTGCTATATTGTTATTATTCTCTTCCCCTGAAAATTTGGCCTGACATGAGCGTTGATCCTCAAAGAAAAGTCTCAGTTTAACCCTTATATTACTAATCTGTGACTCTAAAAAAAGAAATGGATCTCTAATTTGATCAACCAAGTCCAATAATCCCTTTTCTTTAGTTTTGGTGCTGTGGATATGAGCCAGGAATCAGAAATAGGAATACTGTAACTCGTTTTATCTCCCATGTAAATCGCACCCAGCAATGCATAAATTGTAAGGGCATATTGCCAAGGACTGTCAGTTCTGTGCAAGTAGAGATTCACAAGCTCAATGAACACAGAAAGCCTGGATGTTAACTCATGAATAATCCTTCCATATTTTTACACAATTATATAACCAATCACTTATAGCGTTACTTTACATTAATATTAGAATAATTAGTTGAGGGTAAAAATAAGAATGTATTTTGAAATAAATAATAAATATTTCTAAGTATACCAGATATTATCTTGCAAAACAAAATTGAATGAATCTTATGATCCAAGGGAGATAATAGTAACAAGACTAGCTCCTATTTAATACTTCATGAAAAATATCACCCACAGATAGCTTCATGAAAGATATCAACAATGAGAAATATCTAATGACAAACTGAAGGAAAAGATGGTTTTAAACTATAAGTATAGGGCCCTCCCTGGTGGCACAACTGGTTAAAGCACAATACTATGAAGCTATCCGCAGCCACTGCAGCACGAGTTTGATCCCCTGCCAGGGAGGTGACCCACATGGCATGGAAGACCTCTTCTGACCTGCCCACTGCTCCCCTCAGCAGTGTACTTCCTAGGCCTACCTTTCTGCTCCCCTCTCTGTCTCTGGTGAATCCTCTCACCCCCACCCCCTTACTGGCCTGTACCCCAGTTCTGTATGCATAAATAAACAAATCTTTAAAAGTTTATAAAAAATAAAATAAGCTATTCCTGGCAGTTCGTGTAATTGGAAGCCTCTGTAGATGAGCAGATTTTTTTTTTTTTTTTAGAGATTTATTTATTTATTTGTGCATACAGAACTGGGGGACAGGCCAGAGGCTCAGGGGCGGTGAGAGGCTTCACCAGAGACAGAGTGGGGAGCAGAACAGGCAGATCGACGAAGTACACTGCTGAGGGAAGCAGTGGGCGGGTCAGGAGAGGTCTGGCTCGCCATGTGGTCTCCTCCCGGGCAGGCGGCAGGCGGGAATTGAACTCATTCGGAAGTGGCTTCAGATTCTCAGTGCTGTGCTTTAACCCGCAGCGCCATCATGGAGGGCCCAGATGAGCAGATTTTAAAAGAAAACATTTTATCAGAAGATAGATATAATTCCAAGTTGTGATTGTTCAATGTTTAATAGTTATATATATAATAGTATATATCTGTATATGTGAATGTACAAATATGTTGCAACAACAATGGTGAAAAAAAATTGAGCAATTTATGTCTATTATGCAACCAAAATGCATTTATATTCCTACAGCTAAAACCTAAATTATAATAAAGGCCATTTATTTCTATTATTTGGAAATAAAAAAGAAGTTATTAAAGCCTAATAACAGGTGAAAATTCTAGGAAATTCTTAGATTGAATTTTGCTCCCCCAAATTCATACATCAAAGTCCTAACCCACAGTGCCTCAGATGGTGACCTTATTTGGAAAGAGGGCCTTTGCAAATATAATTAAATGGATTAGGATGAGAACACACTGGAGCAGGATGTGTCCCCACAGAATGACTGATGTCTTCAGAAGGGAGAATTTGGACACAGACACACACACACCATATAAAGAAGGCACAGATTGGGAATCCAAACTTATACACACTAGGAAATGTCAAAAATTTCCCGGAAACCACTAGAAGTGCAGAACAGGAACCAACCCCGTGGACATGTTAGTTTGGACTTTTATCTTCTGAAAACAGTGAATTTTTGATAAGCCATGCAGTTTGTGGTAACCTATAGCAAGCTAAGACAGCTACTTACTAAGTCACAGCTTTTCAGATTTCCTACCAGAGACACTTGTACCCTGACCTCGCTCCCACTGGACACAATCTTGTTCAGCACTCAGAGTTCACTAAATTGCCTCCAATTTATGCTAATGTTTCACAATTATACGCTGTCAATATCTAACACAATCTCCCATCAAGATACATAGCAATTATATCTGACACCTCCCCTTACCTTTTGATTGCTCCTGTGCTTGGGGTGGTATTGCAGCCTGGAGGGGGTGGAGGAAACCAGGACTGTCTGTGAAGGAATGACATCAGTTACAGACATGGTGCTTGTATCATCCCCCCTCCATGCCCACGAGGAAAAGCTGAAAGTAATTTGCCAGTTAGCTGGCTTCACCATTTCATAAATTAAATTCAGTTAATTTGCCAGTTAGCTAGTTTCACCATTTCATAAATGCATTAGGAGGTAACTGTCATATTTTAGGCTATTTGCTTCCATTTCCTTTAATAACATAACTATGTCTAAAAAAACATAGACATTTCAGGCCCTGCCTGGTGGCACAAAGGGTTAGAATGCAGCACTGCAATTTAGTCACAGTGCTTCTGTGTGAGTTTGATCCCCACAAACTGGAGGTGACCCAATGGCAAGGCAGACCTCTTCTGATCCCCCCCCACTGCTCCCCTCAATAGTGTACTTCATTGATCTACCTGTTCTACTTCCTACTCTGTCTCTGGTGAATCCTCCCACCGCCCCTGCACCTGTGGTCTGTACTCCATTTCTGTATGCATTATTTTTTTAAAAATTCTTTAAAAAATCGACATTTCTTTAAAAGGAAATCTGAAAAATAATGCTTGCTAAATTGAGGTATCAGGCTCATCCATGTTTATCATCAATATGCCATTTTTTGCATATCTAAAATATTTCATAATAAAAACAAACCTTTCCATCTATTCAATATATCTTTTTTCTTCTATTTTCTGCATATCTGAAGTATTTCATAACAAAAATAACAAACTGTGCTCTACTCCAAGAACAATCTTCAACATATGGTTTAAAAATTGTGATACAACTAACAGTAAGAAAATGAAAATCACAGCAATGAGAACCTCAATTATACATATATACACAATTAGAAATGGGTTTATATTATGAGGGCATACTTTTAACTGACAGACATAACTAAAGCCTCTGTCCAGCGAGGATGGTCCAAGGAGAGTGCTGTAGCCCAGAGAAGGAAAGTCTGAGATAAGGAGAACAGGAAAATTGGCCTTAAATTGCTAAAACTGGTCTATTCTTGAAGGCACAACAGGACTGCATTAAGATGCAGTGAAGTAAATCGACGAAGATTTCAACTTAATGTAAGCAGTGGATGCCAACCATGAGAGAGAGTCTAAAGCACATCACAGATATGACCTTTATTGCTGGCTTCAGGGGTCCGCAATCATGCCTGACCTGTCAGAGGGAAGAATCTTGCACTGGGTAGGAGAGTGAACTAACTGACCTTAAGTTTCTCTTTCAAACTTAGGACTATTTCAAATAGACAAAGGATCAAGGAAGTATGTAATTTGGGTCCAAGAGAAAGATGATCACATTTTCTTCTGATATAACTGTAATTCTGACTACATGAAATAGAATCAACTCTTTCTCTCCAGGAAGACCACAGCAGCATTATCACCATCATCTAGTCCAGGAACAAATACTGAGCAAGTACCCTGTACTAGACATGGTTTGAAGTGGTGGCAAAGAAATAAGAGCATTTTAAAAGCTCTGAAGTTTAAACAGTACTTTTTGGTTCATTTTTATTATGATTCTCTAGCACTGCCTTCTCTTCAACATGTAAAAATCACATCCCTATCACATTCTGCCTCAAGGATACTCTACCACAGGCTTAGCGATTGTTCTATGCCTAGTAGATAAATGGAACTCAGCACAGGCAGAAGAGGGGAGACATGCAGGTGACGAAGGAGGAGGGACCAGTAATCACAGATCCATGACGTGCAATATCTCTACCTACTTGAAAACAGGGTCCACCAGCTCTACAGAGCATAGGACACAATACAGGCTGTTTCCAGGAGCATGGCAGGCACCATGTGCCACAACGTAGTCATCATTTCAGGGGAGAGCATTCCCTGCTGTAGGACTTGATTAAAACGTGCCATCTGAAGTAACTTGCCCTTTACTGTCACGGTGCTATGGAAAGAGGGGGCTAGGTAATGGGCGTAGGTAGCCATATAGGAGCAGGGTGACTCAAACCCTTCAGTCCATTTATCAGCCTGATTGAGAAACACTGTATTGGAACCAAGATGGCACCCTTCTTCCCCACCTCCACCCCACAAAGCCCTGGGTCCATTCATCAATCTGACTGGAAAGTTCAGAACACCAACACCATAGCACTATGTTGAAGCACTGGCCAAGGCTAGTTTTGGGATGGTAGGCCAGACAACGTGAGCAAACTCAAAGGGCCTGGGTAGCTTAGGAGCACCCACAAACTCACTGGACCTATGTAGCCTAGGAGACCTCCACAGGCCCAGTCAATTAGTAAGAGACACAACACAGTGTCATCCAACAACCAAAGCCCACTCCCTGCCCACTATACCCCTATAAGCACCTACTTCTCATCACCTTAGTGGCCGCCCACCCATCTCTGCTTGGAGGAGAGCTTTCCTGTTCTTCCTATCTCCTTATCAATAAATCTTGTTTTTCTATAAATTTGGTCTCATGTTGAATTCTTTCCTCTCCTAAGATAAGAACTGAGAAAGAGCCTGCTCTTCCAGGCCTGCTCCCCAAACCCCAATTCACTATGGTATCATCAAAAATATTGCCTATACACATGGGCCCCTGAGAAAACCAGGACAAGACTGCTTGTTTGGAAAGGAGAGGTGGGGGGGTGGGTGGAAAGATAGCAGAATCCAGTAGGTGCTGGGATTCCCTCTGGGAAGGGACAGAGAGAACATGGAGGAAAGAATGAGACACAACATTTCTGGGGTCCCTGGCAGATGATTTGGCTTAAAATTAATATATAGATTGATAAAATAAAAAAGAAATAAATAATTATTGCTTTATGGAATATCATCAAGAAGCAAACCCAATGAATCCATCATACCTCTTTTTCTTTACAGGAGTTGTAGCAGAGGTAGAGGTGGGGGTGTTGGTGGTATTTGTATTGAGCAAACCTCCAGGTTGCCTATTTAAATGCAAAAAAACCAACAAAACAAAAAAAAACAACCGATCACATTCCTGAAAATTTTTTATTCTACACCACCTTGAAATGCCATATAATCTATTAATATTCCTACCTGCTCTGTATCTAGTACAGAATGTTTCATTTAGAGAACAAAAAAGGTTCTTCCTTAGTTTACTCATTTTATAAGCTGCCGGTTTCTCATCTCACCGACAACTGAAGGAAATTAATGAAGTGTGCTTGTAATTCAGACCAACTCTCATGGGCTGTAGAGTGTGTGTAATCCCATATATTGTGACTAACAGAATGATACTGCAGTTTTACTGCATTAAAAGTATTAGCTCGTTTAAGAGAACATTGAAAAATCATACCATTATTAATTGTTATTTTGCATTTATTAAAATACAAAGACCTCAAAAAAAAAAAAAAAAAAGAAGTGACCCAGGTTTGTTGCAAGTACTGAGAAGAGTGATCCACTGTGGGAATTAGTTATTTGTAAATACAAATTTAACAACTAAGTTTTCAAAAATTTACTTTGCTTAACAGATAGTACAAAAGTAACAGTACATTAAAGCAAAATATATTTCATCTATTTAGGTTGTTAGCAACTCTATGAGTTTGACTTTTAGATCAATGGGTGTTTTGTGAGGCAGGTGAAATGTAGAGCAAGAATTACTTGCCAGATGAATGGGGGGAAATTTTGTGGGGAAAAATTAAATAGTCTAGATTATAAGGGGAAAAAAAGAATAAAGTTTTGGGATTTGGTTAGAGTAGAGCTCGGAAAACCTTTTTTGTTAAATTCTAAAGATTAGACATTGAAACTTTGTGGAGCATGTCAGTATTTCTATAACTTAATTCTGTCTAAATAATAAGAACATGACTGTATTACAATAAAACTTTAGCCTCAGAGCAATAAGCCCAGGTTTTTCTTGAACACACACAAAGAAATGCAACTGATCCTTAAAATATACTGAAGTTAGAAAAGTGCATACATTTTTGTTGCTTCTGGTGATCTGAACGTGGACAAGCTTCTGTTAAGAAAGAAAAAAAAACTATACAGTAAAAAAGAATACATGTTTATATCAATTTGTAATTGCCTATGAACTTAAAAATAATAATAATTGCTTATTATTATTAGTGTTAGTATTAATATTTTATAAGAAATTAGATATAATTTAAGATAAAGTGTTAGTATTTGGATAAATATCGTAAGATGAGTTTCACTTTTTTTCTCTTACACTAAATTCCTAGGGAATTTTTTCCTTCAGAAAATTCAGTACCTTAAACTCAATGTTTTTATTTTTGGGATTCAGTAAATTTCTTTAGCAACAAAGATATAAAATTAGCATTTACATGAATTTCATAATCTTACTACCAGAATAACTTAAACAGAAATATAAATGTGACAAGAATGAAGACTGGGAGTAATGAGATTTCTTGATTCTTAAGTCATGCAATCAAATTTCATTTTTCTCTAACAATGAGCAGTATTTGTAAGCCAGACAACAAAATTTTATTTCTCTCTAACCAATAGGAAAACTAAAAGTTTCACCCAGAATTTTTTAGTTAAAAAAATAAAAGAGAACAATAAACTGTAGAACAGTGTTAAACGAGATTAAGAATTGTTATGTTAATAAATAATGATTAGAAAAATATACTTGAGCCTTTCCCAAGTTAGTAGATACTGGTACCTATTAGTTAGTCGGTTATCCAAGGTATTGGCCTTATATGTTTTAACAGCATCATTTCTGTCTGAGATCCTTTGTAAAGAAACAAGACAAAAGTCTGAGTGAACATTAAAATTATTAAAATACTTTCGGATCCCATTTATGATAATAACTTCTCAACAGTCTATTTCTTTAATACAAAGAACTGTTTCAGGCTTTATATTTCAGAAAACATTGCATTAATAAAAGCTACCTGTGACAAAGTCTATAAGGCTATTTCAGTACAGTTTGCAATTTTTATTTTGCTTTCTTTTTTCTGATAGTTTCTTAGAGCGATAAAATTGATATTTAACATTATATTAGCTTCAGGTATAGAACTTAATTATCCAGCTGCAAATGATAACCAAAATAAGCCTAATTAACATGTGGAATTTTTAAAGTTTGTGCTTTCTACTAACCCTGACAACTCATTGAGGACCTAACTTGTTGACTATTTTGTGTTTGCTATTGTTTAATAATACAGCCAGGCAATGACAGCACTTCCTATGTTAGCAAAAGGCATCAGTGGAAGACACAAGTCATGATTTATGGCACGGACAATGTTTTATGTTTGCCAGACTTATTTTCTATCTGAGCACACAGAAGGCCATAGGTCCCAATCTTCATTACAACTCACTCGGGGCCATGTGATTTAATTCTAAACTAAAAAAAAAAGGTGAAAAATGTTTGCCATATTCAGACCCATTATAAATTCTATTGAGTGATTCCCCATGCTCTTTCTTCCCCTGCGACTAGGGTTTTGGTATCCATGGGTTGAAGACAGCAGCATTAAAACATGGAAAGAACTTAGGTGGCTGAGTCACTTCCTGGAGCAGAGTGGTGCCCCACTCTTCCAGTTAATACAGAGGAGTCTGATGAAAGCAGTAATCCATTGCACTAAGCCACGGAGATCTGGGGGCAAGGGTGAGAACTTGTCCACATAGTTATTCCACCCCAATAAAAAGTTTTATCATTTGGTCCTCCCTGGTGGCGCAGCGGGTTAAAGCACAGCACTCATGTGCACTTCCACATGAGTTCGATCCCCGCCTGCCCCGGAGATGACCACATGGCGTGGCAGACCTCTCCTGACCCACCCGCCGCTCCCCTCAGCAGTGTACTTCGTCGATCTGCCTGTTCTGCTCCCCACTCTGTCTCTGGTGAAGCCTCTCGCTGCCCCTGAGCCTCTGGCCTGTACCCCAGTTCTGTATGCACAAATAAATAAATTTTTAAAAAAAGTTTTATCATTTACTTTGGGCTGTCACTCTAGATAGCCAAAACAGAATCTAATGACCACCAGAAGTTTTAATACCTCTACTCTTGTCGGAGAGTAGGTCTGAGGAAGGTGTATTTGTCCCTTGGGTGAGAAAATACAAATTAAGAATCCTGTAGCCTCCATGCCAGGGATGGGATTTCATGAGTGTAATCCCTGTTCCTTCCCTTTCCTCTTTCACATAGATTAGGAATGTTCCTGAGACATGAGGTTATCTTCTGGGGTACTTTGCCATCTTGTACAAAACTAGGATGTAACAAAGTTAGGCTCAGGAAAACAAAAGTTCAGCAAAACTTTTCTGTTGATCTATCCCCTACACTATGTATCTACTAGAACTGTCCATAAATTTCTGCTTGTATCATCAACTTTAGCTCAGCACTTTATTTAACCATTCCTGTGAAGATGGGCACTGATTTTATCTCATGCTAAAAACAAATCATGTGGGAAAAAATATGACTTAGTTGGCTAGGCTAAAAATAATTTCAATTTTTAGATATCATTTTGGCAGGTAACAAAAGTATTGAATAAATAACTCTAATACTTAAAGTTTCTATGAGTCATTTCAGTTTCTGTTTATGCAACATAATGCCACAAACTAATAACTCCAGAATGCAAAAAAGAAGGTTGTAATCCTCCAAATCTTCATATTCTCCACAGATGTTTCATAATACAAGAAGTAATGTGTACAGGATCTCAGAATCCATGTATAAACTCATATCTAAAATGATAATCAGGCTAAAGACAGTGAATATATCCCCTGACCTTACTGCTTAGCCTCTAAGATATTTATATTTTAAGAGCTCTGCAGTAAACCATTGTGATTATCGTAAGTAAAATGTCAGGTAACCCTAAATCTTAAAGCTTAAATATTTGTTCCTCAGAAACTCTACCCAGATTTTACAGCTGCATGTGACATCCTCATATAAGATTAAAATAACCTTGGGATATTGTTAGTCTAGAATATTGAAAACAACCACCCACATAAGGCAAATAGAACATGAATATCAAATATTCTCATAGTTTAAATGTGAGTTCTGTTAAAATTAAATGAAGTTAATAAAAATTCTAGATTGTAAATCTATATGGACAATATTGCATATAATAATAAAAGCAACTACTTATTTCTTATGTAAGTCATTTTATACACTCTTCCTCTACCCTTCAGAACATCCCTTCAAGGTAGGCACAATTGTATATGATTTATAGATGAAGAAGTGGAGTCTTAGATAAAGTGAGTGACATTTTGCTATACAACTAGGAAGTAATCTACCTCCAAGGTCATTCTAGCAGGGCCCAATGCCATACACCTGATCATGTAGTCTGATTATACCCAACATTTATATAATAGGTCAACATGCCTTCCTTCAATTATTACTCTTCCCTCATCTCTTCTATGCCGATAGGGGATAAGTTTATGAATAGTAATGGTGAGAACTCTAAATCAGCATTCAATACAAACATCAATTTATCATTTCTCAGGAAGAGGAAATTTGATTTTCCCCTGAAAATGAAGTTTCTGTCAACTTGTGATATGAAATAGGTTGTTTTAACAGGAGTCTTGGAAGCAGGAAATACACAAACAATACAATAAGCAATATGATTTTTTAAAAGTCCCACACACAAAGGAAGAATTACACTTCCACAACAGAACACTAGAGGTCTTCCTAAACTAGGTTTTCCTATGAATTCTTTACACCACAGGATTTGGGCCATCTCTGCATTCACTATTAGTATATAATGCATTCACTATTATTATATTTCTTTTGAATGCCTCAGATTTTTACAGACATGTGCACATTTTTAAAGGGAATTCTTCAAATGTAAATTCAGTTCTCTCCTATTCATTTCAAATAAATGCATTCTTGAAAAGCACACATGCACACAGACCAGCTATATTTAATAATTTTCCTCTAAAATTATTTCACATCTGGGCCCTCCCTGGTGGCGCAGTGGGTTAAAGCACAGCACTAAGAAGCTAAAGCCACTTCAGCATGAGTTCGATCCCCACCCTGGAGGTGATCCACATGGCACGGCAGACCTCTCCTGACCCGCCCCCTGCTCCCCTCAGCAGTGTGCTTCATTGATCTGCCTGTTCTGTTCCTCACTCTGTATCTGGTGAGTCCTCTCACCACCCTTGCAGCTCTGGCCTATACTCCAGTTCTGTATGCAGAAATAAGTAAGTCTAAAAAAAAAATTATTATACATCTAGCACTATAGTAGCCTGCACAAGAAAGTCTGACCTTGTTAACAGGATTTGCTTTTCCTTACTAATCCCTGTGTCCTTTTCCTCATTTTTTAAAAAGATTTATTTATTTATGCATACAGAACTGGGGTACAGGCCAGAGGTGCAGGGTCAGTGAGAGGATTCACCAGAGACAGAGTGGAGAGCAGAACAGGCTGAATGACGAAGTACATTACTGAGGGGAGCAGCAGGCTGGTCAGGAGAGGTCTGCCGTGCCATGTGGGTCACCTCTGGGTTGGGGATCAAACTCATGCTGAAGTGGCTTTAGCTTCTTAGTGCTATGCTTTAACCTGCTGTGCCACCAGGGAGGGCCCTTCCTCATTTTTATTTCCACACAGAGAACTGTAGCCTACTGATGGGAAACAGGACTGCCTGGGGAATTAGCTGCCCATGATATTTCTTTCAAAACTGTTTGTAAACTACCTGTGTAAATGAAACAGAAGTTTTCTGGCCACACTATTTACTGTATAAGATGACAGGTCGGGGCTAGATTTGGTAGCTCTGAATTTGGTTGAATATTAGAATCAGTTCATAACCTTTAAAAAAATGCCTAAGCCCCACCCACCTCAGGCTAATTAAATCATAATTTGGGAGGTGAAAGGCAGTGGGAATCAAGGCATCAGTGAATTTTAAAAGCTTGTGCAGTGATTATAATTTGCATTCAAGGTTTGAAATGACTCAACTAGTCTGCATGTGAGGTTCGTCTAGTCCATTAAGGTGGAGGTTCTGTCTTGATGGACTTGTTATAAACATTTAAACATACTGTACATAAAGTTTAGGTTTCCCACATCTATAACCTTTTTAGGGCTAATTATTTTGCTTTTAAATTCATTCCTATAGTGTTTGTTTCTTTTGTGAATGGTGCAATATGACAACTCACAGAGCAAGGCAAAAGGACAGGGGCATTTTCACTCCTCTTTACACACATTTCCATGAAGATGAGATCTTGACATCCACTAGCTCATTTTGGTTGAGGCTATTAATTACTCTGGTGCCCAAAAAGGTTTTACTTTCTAAAGTGAAGAGCTAATGTCTTTATCCAAGGATGGGTCAGAATGACTGCGCTGATAAAACATACAGTGTCTTTGTAAAGAAGTTGTGCAGAAATTGTTGTTTTTCCATGCTTGGAATAGAAGACTGAAAACAGATCAAATCGCTAGAACAAAGCCTTAATACTCACTTTCACAAAAAATAACTCCATTCTCCACTTAAATTGTACAGATTCTATGCATGTCCACCCTACCTCTACTCAACCCTGTTTCTTTAGAATTTTTTGTATCAATCTATTTGTAGCAGAAACTTAGGAAGTTTATTAAGTCAAGATTTTATAAGTTTGGGAAAAAGATACTTTAATACTTACAGCCCTTATGTGCCTGGTAATAAAAAGTCCTGGTTCACAGCAAACTTTGGTAAACACTTAAATATTTCCTGTTTCATAAGTAAGATTTAATGTATATTGTCATTCCAATTACATGATTCAAATGTACCTTACCTGTCCAAAGTGTCATCAGATCTGTACCGACTAATTGTGGCTTTTGGCTCATCTCTCCCGTTTGTTTTCCTGTAGCAACAACAACAACAACAACAACAACAATAATAATAACAATTACAAGAATATCAAACAAAAATTAGTTATAGTTTATAAAACATATAATGAATTTGGCAAACTCTGCATATGTAATGAAGAAAAAGAGGGCGTGGATATCCTAACCTTTCAAAGTTTTGGCTTAGATCAAATAAATTATGGCAAACCAAATTCTCTACCTTCATAAAGCAATTTCTTCTCCAGCTATGATTATTTCTAACTACAATGTAACATATTCAAATTAGGAATAAATATATGTAAGAAACCACGAACATGCTAAGAGGCTAATAACTAATATGTACTCTTGTCAGTGTTGCTGACTTTTATATAGTAGGAACTCAATCCTTTTAATCAGCGGTGTTGCTGGCGGCTTTAGTAGTGCCATAACGCAACACAAATGGTTAAATACAAATTGCTTTACCTAATTTTCAGCACCGTGGACAGGGTTGAAAGAAAAGAACTTGAGACAGAAGGGAGAGGAGAGGAAAGAAGGGAAAAAGAGAAACAAGAAAAGATGAAAAGAAAGTGGAAGAAAGGAAAAATAACAGCTACCTGGAGTATAAAACAAGGGAGATGAAGTAGGAAGAGGTGAGGCATAAGGTAAAGAGTTGTGGAAGACATTGAACAGAAAAAGAAGACAAAACAGTAAGAGAGATTTGAAAGAGCAGAAATCATAATCACAGAAGTGGTGGAACTATCCTGATCAAAAGTCTACATAATGCCTCATATACTCAGTGATAAAGTGGCAGCAAGCACTTTGGGGAATTATACAATGATTTACTATGGTTGCATTTCAAAGCAGTTTTGAAGTTGACAGATCAAAGATATTGAACTAAAAATTATACTGAACCAGAATGTCTAATATTTCATTTCAGTGTGATGCAGTATATTTTTATTAAGCAAATATTTAGGAAGTAAACCATATGCAAAGTACTAAGCTAATGATTACAAGGACATCAAGAATGGAAAAAATGTGTGCCCAGAGCTAGGAGGGCAAACTAAATACACACATCCTACCATATAAAGAGGTTCTTAGTATGAAAGTGGTTCAAATAAAGTGCAAGTTCTAAGTTGAGAAAGCTCTTATTTTGGATCAGAATCAGAGACTTTAAAAATAAAGTGAAGTTTGTGTTGGGGTTTGTAAGTAAAGTAAAGGTTAATATTTTCAAACAGAGGTAGAGGGAATAATTCAAACTTAAGCAAGAAAAAAGTGAAGAACATTGTCTAATGCTATTTACCAACTTAAGAAACAGAGAAGTTGGGTTGGGTCATTATGGTTAATGCGAATACATGTGGGCTATCATGAAAACCAAGGAAAAGCCACACATCAGTCTGGAAACTGCAAAATCAAGCAGATACTTTATGTAGAGGGCTCTAAGGCTCACGGAAGTCTTGGACCTATGTCGTAGGTTGAAGTAATCAAGTTGTAAAGGGTTTAGACAAATTCATACATTAAAGTTTCTAAAATAGACATATTCAACAAGTCTACTTTAAAGAACATTCCATGAAAGACCATCACAGTGCTGTATTAATATGTCTTCTTGACAGACACAGCTACTGGGCCAGATAAAAACTTGTGTCTAATAAATAATTAGGTTCTTCTGATGGGTGTGACTGTTTGTATATGTATGAGCGTAAATGTATTCTAACAAGGATGTTATCTCTTTATTTGATCACTAAGGTTATTTACATCATTGTGATTACCAGTTTTGTCTATATTTTCTACTAATTGGCCTTTGCCAGTCTATTTGCTGTTGAGTATCACTCAGTAGTTTTCCTCAAGCCTAGGAATTTTTAAATGCCGCCAAAAGCAAGAAATGACTGGAGTTCTTATTTCTGTATTGTAGGGTCCCTTTCCCCAAAGTTAAGATATCTGATCTGGCCACATTTCCCACCAGGAGGGACACCTCAGTGGGGCAGGCAGAGAACTGGTTATTCTGTAGCTCTGGAAACATGTATCTGGAGAAGCACAAATTTTGTCCTATGGAAATCCGTGATATTATCACAGCTTTTCCTTCATGTGCCCAGAACATTAGGGAAAGCCTGAGGCTAGCCACAAATATTCAGCCTGTCTTGAACAAGTCTTCTCTCAAATGCATTGTCTTTGTGTTTCTGCTAATGATGTAATTTGTCTGAAACACCCACCTGTCCAAAGCATCATGGGAATTATGTCGGCTGAGCACCACCCTACCATAGTTCTCATCTCTGCAGAAAAGAAGAACAAAATTAAATCACATGAAGAGTCACTACAGTAATTAGTAAACACTAACTAAGAGAAAGAGAGCTTATAATGTCTAGTAAGATTAATTCATTGTATTCCAGGCTTAGAAAAACAACTAGGTATTTATTTTAGCCAGTCTCCACATGAAAAAGCATGGTGAAAAGAAACAGGCTTGTCAGTAAAGATTATCAACAACCTAATTTATCCTGAGATTTGAGTGTCATTTAACAATGGGGTGATTGTTTTATTTTTTCATCAGAGTAGGGAAACAATTGGCCATTTACCTTGCATGTACTAGGAAAATTTTTCTGCAAGAAGGCAAACGTTTCCTCAAAATGTTTCAAATTTAATTAAGGCTGTTATACCTAGACATTTTTATTTCATATTTGTAGTTAAGGAGGATGGTTATTCACAGGAGATTTAGCTATTTTTGAACCATGAAAATATATAGTTGATTCTGTTTGGTCCTTAAAATAATTCTGTGAATTAGGCAGGGAATAAACTGTACTATCCAACTCACAGATGAAGGAACTAATGAGGAATTTTGTGGTTTGCTAAAGACTAAAGGGTTAAAAATGACCAAGTGGGTCTAGGATCAAGATCCTTTTATTCCAAATGTTCACTTTTCGTACTGGTCATACCTGCAATGGACCTTCGTATATGAAATCTCAAAGGCATGTTGGTCTTACTTTATACTGTGGACCTGAAAGTACAGGCAACTTTAGGAAATGTCAAAACATGTAGTAGATACTTTGGCCTTGAGTCAAGGCAAGAGTAATTACCTGAATTTTTTTTTTTTTAAGTCAACCTAACTAAACCTGAAATACCACATTTCTCTGGGTTCTGCTCCAGAACATTACTCAACACTCTGGAACCATTTATAATAAAGCTATAAAACATACAGAGTAGACAATTAAATATAAAGGTGAACTGTGAAACTGCAACACTTCTGGCAAATATTCAGTCTGAAAGATCTGAAGAGAAATTTCCATCTCTCTTGGAATCCCTTCCCTAACTTGTGGGATAATATTAGACAAATGACACAGTCTCATGACACATTCTTGAAAAAGAATCATAAAACATCACACAGAATTGGATCAGTACGACTGGGGGAAGCTCCTGAGCCAATTTCCCCTCATTCAGTAGCTGTCATGTCATCTAGACCGGCTTTCATGGGTCATTTTAAAGAGGCATGCCTGGCATCAAACATCATTCCTACCAACAACAATTTGTTTCAGACATCTGTACATTTACCCACCTGTGCAAATATTTGCAACCCAACATTTATGATGTACATTTGACATCATTTTATCACAGTGAAAAAACAGAAATGCCATATTAGACCATGAGGGAAACGGTAAATGCAGCTTCAGAGCAGGAAATGATTGTTGCCCAAGTATGCTAACCCTAAAGTTAGTGTGAATTTACAAATATTCCTATAATCTTTAAAAACAAGAAGATTTAGTACAGAATTAAGTGGCATTTATATTTTAAAAGTTACAAGTATGCTCCTTAAATAATCACGAATGAACATAATGGAAAATCTTGTAATGCAGGTTTTCTCTACTTCAGCAGTATTGACTGTATAGATTTAAAAGGTTTTTTGTTGTAGCGAGTGCCCTGTGCATTTGAAAAATGGTCAGCAGCATCCCTGGTCTCAGTCCTCGAGGTATCAGAAGTATTCCTCAGTTTTGGCAGCTGAAAATGTCTCCCAACCTTTCCAAATGCCCCCCTGGGAGCAAGATTACCCCTGACTAAGAACCATTAGTTAGGATCCTCCCTGGTGGCATAACAGGTTAAAGCACAGAACTATAACACTAGCCACAAATACTGCAGCACAAATTCAATGCCTGGCCAGGGAAGTGACCCTCATGGTGCAGCAGATCTCTCCTGTTTCACTCACTGCTCCCCTCAGCAGTGTACTTCATCAATCTGCCTGTTCTGCTCCCCATTCTGTCGCAGGCAAATCCTCTCACTGCCCCT